TCTGGAGAACGACTGCCTGGCGACAGTGACACACGCGTTGGTGACTTCCCGACTTGACTTCTGTAATGCGCTCTATGTGGGGCTGCCCTTGAAGACGGTCCAGATACTTCAATTGTTTCAAAATAGAGCTCCCAGGCTGCTGACGGGGACTGGGCGTTATGTTCACATGACTCCAGTTCTCCGTCAGCTTCACTGGCTTCCCATTGAAGTCTGGACCCAATTCAAGGTGTTGGTGATGACCTATAAAGCCCTAAATGGCTTGGGTCCTGGTTACCTGAAGGAGCACTTACGTCCATATATGGCCGCCTGCCCCTTGAGATCAGCAGGAGAGGCCCTTCTCCAGAAACCCTCCGTGAAGGAAATTAGGAGGGTAAGTACTAGGAGGACGGCTTTCTCTGCAGTGGCGCCCAATCTATGAAATGCGCTCCCCAGAGAGGTCCCCCTGGCGCCGTCGTTATTTGTTTTTTGGCGCCAGGCGAAGACCTTTTTATTCAAACGTTATTTTAATTGTTAATATTATTTATTTATTTTGTTCTTTGGCCAGGGTGACTTAATTTATACTGTTAGATTGTTTTATATGATGTTATTTATTTATGTTTGTGAGCCGCCCCGAGGCTTCGGCAAATGGGGCGGCATAGAAGTTCCCCAAATAAATAAATAAATAAATAAAATAATTTGTGTGTCCTCTTTTATAGTACTAGAAAAAAAGATTCCTTAAAAACTAGCTTTCTTCCAAAATGACTTTTCTTCACACAGTTAAAGTAACTTTTCTTGGGCCTTTAAAAAAACAAAAAACAAACACCTATTTGTCTAAAAACAGTTTGTATATTTCATGCCAGATCTTTTGAAAACACCTTAATATTTAGCAGTGGATTGTTTGTCTTGTATTCATTGTCTAGAGCATGGGTTCTCAAAATACGGCCCATGGGTTGAATCCGGCCCACCATGCCCATTTATCCGGCCCGCCTCAGAGGTTTTGGACTCCCCATGCCTGCTGCGTGCATGGCGAGGCAGTGGCTTGTTCGCTTGGAGATCGTTTTGGACTCAAGTTGCCGCCTCGCCGCACACGCACGCTGCCGCTCTGGCCCACGCCCACTGCTGCAGCCTTTCAACTGTCCTCAATTGAAAAAGTTTGAGGACCCCTGGTCTAGAGCTTAGAGTCAGGTATGTTATACAAGGTCAGTATTTGGACAACTACAATGGATTTTCAGAAACTGCAATTTCTCAGCTAGTGATTTGTGTAATTCTACAATATATGTATTTATATATCATTTAAATCAAATCCTAATAGAAATTGTCAGGCACTACTACCATAGAAATTCTTAGATTATCAAGCAATAGCAACTGTTTACTCATTTCTCTTGAGATGCATTTAAGAATATATTCTTACAAAAATCATCACCCTTCATCCCAAATCTGAGAAAATCCCATCCAGCATACAAAACTATAGACATATATTAAGCTTTAATTCCCTGATATGTTTAGTCCAGTTTGCAGAGTGGATGAAAACATTTTTGACTGGCAGTAATAATGAAAATGATTTTTTTTGCCATAAAAATTTAAAGTAACCTCTGGAGGTTAAGGGGCTAAGTATTCAATTTGGATTTTAAATGAAAGCTGGAGTTCTCTACAATCTAGTATGATCCTACAGGTTTCAGGTTCTGCCTGCTGGCTGAAAACTGGCCAGCTCTAATTTAGTCCTGCTAAAGTGATTTCGATGAAATTAAACTGGCACAAACTATGTACTCCATTTTACTAGACACTTGAAGTTATCTAAGAACTAGAAAGTGTTTTATTTTCAGCAAAACTTAATTTTCAAATACTAAGGATCAAATTAGATCACACTAGTGAAATATCTTTGATTTAGATTGATTGCATGTTTATAGAACAGTAAATGCAGGTAGGACAGCAGTGGTAGGACCTGTACTGGGCCCATGATATCGTAAGCTGAACCCTTTTCACTTGTTCTGTTTTCTTGATCTGAATCACCCTTGATATTATTCTAATCTTGATATTATTAGCCCATAATTGTTGCTATATACAAAACAATTGCATATATGCAGAGTGTTTCTGTGGAAGTGCAGTGGGTGGGGAGAGAATCAATGTGAAAACTGCACAGGGAAAGGGTTGGCTTTTTAAACCTCCTTGAGTTGTGGCCTCCTTAAAGCTGCTCTTTACAAAAATTTGGAAAACTAATAATGGATACCAATCATCTTATCTAGTGTGACCCTGTAGGTGGAATATTATGCACACTTATTTGGGAATACGTCTTCCTGAAATCAGGGTAACTTTTATAACTCAGGTAATATGAGTTCATTCATTATGTACAATCAGACTGCATGTGGAAAATATTTAGGGCTATTTTCTAATGCTGCTCATGATGCTAATAGGACTTAGTGCTAGCACAATGGGAAGCAATCCCTGAAGCAACAGCAAATGGACAGAAATGCTTATTTCTGAAACTAGTCAGGTTAGCAAAGCTCACAGAAGGGAGCTCTGCTGAACCACTGCATGCTGGAAATGAGTACTTACATTCATTTCCAATTGCTTTAGGAAATGTACAACCCAAATGACCTCCAAAACAGTGAGACAATTACAGCTAGCTCTTTAATGAGAGGCTGCTGGGATTCTTTAAAAAATTACATTACGTGAACCTTGGTTATTATATAATAGGGCAATTTTTATGATCACTTGTACTTTGTAAATTTGAAGTTCATTGATGAAAGATGAGGATTCTAGTTGTTGTTGTTTGTTGAATTAAACTATGCAGGTCTGAAGTAAGAGCCATTCCTATGTAAATGTCTTACCCAGAAAAGGTTTTTTCTTCTTTCTTGCCCATGAAATGGCTTCAAGTTTTCCCTCAGTTCCCCTGTGGCCAAAGCCTCCAGGAACTAATATGCAACTAGGATAAAATACAGAATAGAAATGCAATAAAAGGATGAGAACGTACAATGACAGGGTAGATGATTTATACTGCACACCTGCATGTAACCACTTCTGCAGCCTTAACTAATAGATCAGTCTGTATTATGTGCATATAAAATGTATACTTCAAAAACTGGATAGACAGAGCAAGATCAAGACAGAGATGGAAACAGAGAAATAGATGCAATTTTTAAAGACACATTTATCTTTGTGTGGAAGACACAAAATGGCCTGCATGGGAAAATGTCCATTCAACTCCACAGCCAAACTCCTGTTTGCTCGTTCCTTGGGAGCTTGGCTGCTTGTATTCCAGAGTCCCTAGACCAGCTGGGGCAGCTTCCTCTCATCTGCTCAGCTATGAGTCAGGAACCAGAATGAATCTCCCTACCATGACATTGGTAAAAACAAAATAAATCAACATAGTAATACTAATTAGTAAGTATTAGTAAATTAGTATATTTTGTTACCTTAGTTCATTAAAATTAGTATACTTACTAATTAGCACATGTTCCTAAAATTAATATACTAACAATAATTTATATAAATCAGTATATAGTCTATGAGCTCGCTCGCTCGCTCGCTCGCTCTCTCTCTCTCTCTCTCTCTCACACACACACACACACACACAATATCCTTGCAGACAAACACTGTTATAAGATATGGCTAATTGTGGGCAAGTTCCAAATACAGGAGCACCTAACAGTTAAAATCCAATGTGATTTTATATAAAATAAAAAATTATTCATACAATAGCTTTCTAAAGCAATAGATTAAGACCAAAGGTGGTTAAACCAATAGAAATTACAAAGCACGCCAAACTCTCCAAACTGACATTGGCATGAAAATGGCAAATGCAGTTCAACATAAGCAAGTATAATGTAATGCATGCTTGGGCAAACAATCCCAACAAGTACAGGCTGATGAGATCTGAGCTTGCAGTGACTGAGCAAAAAAGGGGTCTTGGGAGCAGGGAGAGGGGCATCTCAATAAAACTGCCACCCCCAGCATGTGGCCACTGTGAAAAAGGCAACCTCTGCGTTAGGCATAATTAGGAAAGGAAAGGAAAATGGAATTGCCAGGATCTATTTGAGACTTGTTAAGATCTGCAGAGAAAATAGAACTGTTAAGATAAAGATCTAAACTCCCCTTAAACAAATCCCTGGTTCACCTGCACTTGGAATACTCCATACACTTCTAGTTGCCTTGCCTGAAAAAGGACTTTACCGAGTTGGAAAAAGTACAGAATCAGCTAAAATGATCAGGGGCTGGAACAACTCCCTATGAATAGCAACTACAGCAACTGGGCCTTTGTAGCTTAGACAAAAGGGTGAGTAAAGGAAAACATAATAGAGGTGTTTAAAATTATGCAAGGTATGGAAAGGGAGATGTTTTCCTCCCTTTTCCATAATACTAGAATGTAGCATCATCCCATAAAACTGATTGGAGGGAAGTTCAGAAGAGCTAGAAGTATTTCACACAAGGTATAGTTAAAACTATAGAATTTACTACCACAGGAAGTTGTGATGGCCACCAATTTGAATAGCTTTCAAAGAAGATCTGACAAATTCATGGAGGAGGTGGCTATCAGTGGCTACTAGCTGTGCTATCTAGGATTATCACAGTATGCCTGCATACACTATCTGCTGAGGAACTTGTACCCATCCTGCTTGAGACATCCTGTGTACAGCTCATTTGCCACCATGAGAACAGCATGACTTTTCTTATGTTCTAACACAAATCAAGTAAATGAAATAAGGCAGTAAGATAATAAAATTGGAAACCTTTACAATGGTGTTAGGAAGTCTCTTAAAATAAATGTTAAAGGAAAAAACCTCAGCCACCTTGTATTAGAAGAAAAGTAAGGCCCTCCATCTGCACTACAAAGATATGGCACAAATATCTCTCTCTCTCTCTTTCTCTCTCTCTCTCTCAAAGTCAGTGCTTCACCTGGCAAGAAGGTGTGGTAGGAAAGACAGACAGACAGACAAGGCAGGCAGAGGACACTGGCACTGGGATTCTGGGAGTGGGGAAGCCAGGAAAGAAGCAAGGTACTGGTATCCTGTAAGGAAACTAGGTGGGGTCTTCAGTTCTTCCTCCTTGTGAACCAGTGTAAAACACTCACATGGCTGTTCTGGAGGGCAGGAAGTGTGCAGAGTGTCTCCGCCTGCACTCCTTCCACCCTCCATTAGAGTCTGTGCTCCTCCAAATTCAGAAGAAGGATTTTCCTTTTGTTTTTTAAACAGGGCTATTGTATGTCTGAATTTGCAGGTGGTCTTAATGTTTTACTTAAAATGTACCTATTTTGCTAAGATTTTATGGCACTTTATTGTATATTTATGAACTGTTGTAAACCACCCAGAGAGCTTCAGTTATTGGCCTGTATAGGAATGAAATAATGAAGGAAGAGAAGATGATAAACTAAGCACCACTTACTCTGCTTTGCACAGTTTTTGCCAGGCTTGATGGAATTTCACAGGATCCTCCACCTCTGTATTATGTTCCAAATCTGTTGAATCTATATACTAATTAAGAAAAAATATATACTCATACATATATACATAATGAAATCTATTTTAATGGGACTGCAGGTGGCACAGTGGTTTAAACCGCTGTGCTGCTGGGCTGGTAGATCGAAAGGTTGCCGGTTCGAATCTGCACAACAGGGTGATATATACATAATGACATCTATTTTAATACTAAGAGCCTTCAGTGTCTATTAACCTTAATAGATTCTGTACATATTTGTGGTAAAACATCACTTCAAAACATTAAAAAATTTCATGAACACTAAGGATAGAAGTTCCTTCCCTGTGCTCTAAGCAACATTTAAGTTTCCCTTTGCTAATAAAGAATCTTCAAAGAATTTGTCAAATTCCTGCTCTCCTCCATTCCCTCTGAAATGGAGGATAAATTTGACAATTTCTTTGTCAAGTGCAGATATGGCTCTGCTGGGACTAAACCAAACAGTGTGTGGCAAGGATGAAACTGAACAGAAAACTGACAGGAGAAAAATATTCTTCTGCAGGACTATCTATTGCAGAGGACAGGAAGATTCCCAGTTGTGCAAGTTCAGAAAAAGAATAGTTGCAACATTATTTGCAAAGATTTCTGCATTCCCCCCACACCCAGAGTTGCACATAACCACACATCAAATTCTAAGATGATTGAAATAATAGCCCTGACTCAATTTACAGATGCTTATACATGGGTATTTAAATAGATGTATATGCTGTCCAAATTGCAGTGGCAGACATCAGTGAATGTGTATGCCTGTGTGTATACATCTGTGTGCCATATTTGCAATGTAAATTATAGAGCTGTTTAAAATTCTAAATATTAACTAGAACCTTAAGCATTTAGCAGTATTTCAAGTACCTAGTTAATTGTCCAAGCCTATGACATCTAACTCATTTAAAATACAATGCAGGAAAAAATGTAGTTACATTGTTTCCAGAGCTAATCTCTTCTTATGTGTAAATGCTTAGTAACTTCTTATCTCAATTTACTAAAAATGAGTAGAAAGTAAGACAACTGTTATTAAAAAAAAGAAATCCAATTAAGGAAATTACTGTAAAATTTTCCAAGATAAACCAAATGTTTATGTCATAGAACTTTATGGACATCAAACTAATTAAACAAAGAAACATCCTAGAGAGAAGAAAACTTAAAAGGAAGAACAGAAAGCAAGAAATCTTTGTGCTCACCATTAAGTTGAGTCTGTGGTTAATTGCCAGAGCTGAATGTTCTAATGCTTTGAATACAGAGGTATAGCAGTCACTCAGTTTTGTATACTTGCCAACCAGAGCTACAGAACATGTCTTCAACATTCTCTCATATCTGACAAGATAAGTCATCAATCAATGGGATGATTCTCAAAATCAAAACAAATAATGTTTCTTATGTTAAGTAGATTGCTCAGGTATTATAAACCTAAGCAAGTCTGAAAACATATTCCCTAGTGCTTTAAATCAGATTGCTCTATTTTAACTAGCATTGGCTCTAACATTAGGAAAGATAAAGTGGACTGCTTCAGGTGACTGATTTAGAAAATAAAATAGAGACAGTTTGCCTGGACATTCATCAGTCCCATAATGCTCAAAACATGAAACCTAGGCTCCTACAATGTTGTGTACATGCTACAGGGTCAATAAATATCATGGGAATTTATGGAAATTGATTTATTTATTAACCTTATAGACTGCTTCTATAGTCCTATCAGGTCCCCTAAGTAGACCCCAGGGGTATGTTCCTCTGAGTTATTATAAAAGAAAAACAGTTGAAACCTACATGTCAAGGACATCCATCACATCAGCACTGCTGGTGACAAGAAAGGCTATGTGGTATTTCCTATGCAGTATTTACACTGACAAAGATGTGACAGTAGACAACAGGGAATGCTGGATAAAGCTGTATATGATTTTTCATGGGAAGCCATAGAGTGAAAGATTTCTATCTCAAGGTATATGGCCAGAAAGGTCACGTTCCAGGACAGTAAGGATTACAGTTTAAAGGATGAAATACAGCCTTGCCGTGTCTTTTCAGCACATGATATGCTAGCTGTGGGTACACAGGAACTACTTTAACACTGCAACCATCACAGTACCAACAAGCACCACACATTCCAATGGTATACAAAGTCCTTTACAGCAGTGCTGCAGACTTATTAGTTAGTGCAAATTGGTATGGGGAAAGAATTTTTTTTTTTAAAAAAAGAACAATACCTATCTGCCATTTTCTTCCACTTTAAAAGAAGATCACTTGGCTGGTCATCAATTGGCAGGTTCAATCTCTCCTTAAAATATTTAATAATGCCTTGCTCTTCCAACAGAATTGGCACTCGGTAAGTAGAAGAAACATCATGGATGAATATTACCTAAAGGATATGAATTTTAAGTACCGATATCCAACACTTAAAATTGACTAGATATACATAAGCACACACCATATACAGTTATGGTTATTACATATGATGTTCCCTAAGCTCTACAAATTGCTTGTTCAAAATAAAGTGCTTTAGACTGCAATCTAAACAATCTAACTGGGAATAAGCCTCACTGCTAAGATATAAAAGTTGCAACATTAAGTTGCAATTGCTTGATGTACAGTGCTTTTCACAGAACATTTACTCAGAAGTAACCTTCTATTGAGTACTTCCTAGTGAGTAAATTTAGGTTTACCTTCTAAAGTTGCAACCCTATAAATTACCTAGGACTAACTCCTAGTGAGCTCATTTGGACTGATTTCTCAATAGTTATGTATGGGATTGCACTGTAAAAAAATCTAAGAACTAACCTACAGAGTAATGATTCAAACAGTATCAGCAAATTTGAGGAGTATTTTCAACATATTATTTATCTCATATTACCTTATTCTATATGATAGTGGAAGAAATATTATAACAAGTAACAGCAACCCAAGCATAACTTCCTTTTCTAAAACACTTTTAATATATTTTAAAAACATAAATACTTTAATATTTAAGGGTACAATCCTTACTTGGTGGAATGTATTGGGATGTATGTAAATGTATACACTATGGTACAGCAAATGAGCTTATTGATAGGCTAAACTGTTTTTTGAAATGCTAAAAATTTGGAGAGGACTTCCTGATAACCTTAGTCCAATCCCTTCATTATCTGCACTCAATGTTCCTTGATCTACTTTATTTCACTTCATAGCTAGATAACTTTTAATTTTTACTTTGCTGACTTGTTTAAAGGTGCAACACTGCCCTCTGCTGGAGTATAAGGAATTTTCTTTAAAAAATAACATACTTGGCTAGTAAATGCATTGCCATGTTTCTCTACAATTAATAAAAACAGAAAATAGAACACTGCAGAAATATTCACGGAATAAGAAAACCCTGTAAATAATCATTTATAAAACATTTTCATTTTTTTTTAATTTTCTCTTCCCCCATTTATTCCTGTGAATAGCTGCTTAAATATGCTCAAATATCCAGAAAACCTCTTCATATCAACTGATATGAAGAAAAACATGTAGCACATAGTTACAAACAGAGCACAGCTGTTATTGTTAGAAATCCTACTCACCTGTTCAGGTTCCACATGGCAAAACATGGAGATCTTTTCTTTTACAGCCATTTCTATAGGTTTGGTACTTCTACAGACTATCTGTCAAAACAACATATTTTGTGGAAAGACTATTCATAGGTCCAGCATCTTACCTTACTTTAAAAAATAAGCAATTAACGAGTAATTTTAGTGTATTGCCTCCTTACAGAGGAAAAAAATCACAGTCTCAGTCAATGACTTTAACAGAACTTATGAAGCATTACAGTAGAACTCCGAAATGTTACCAATTAATGTAACTTTCCTTCCTTATCCCTCCATCCACAATGAATTGTATAATCTATTTTTGTAATTGATTTTGAAAATGTGTATACACTGCAAAGTAGAGTCAATTGTGAACATACCAATCACTTCAAAATACAGAAAAAGTATACATTTATAATAGAACAATGCAGATTTATCAAACTCACCAAATCAGGAGACAGACCAAGTCCTCTTAAAGCCCGAACGCTGTTTTGAGTAGGTTTTGTTTTCTGCTCTCCAGTTGCATTAGGCTAAAATCAACATTAAACAAACCTGCTTTGTAAGAATGTTCTATACGATCAATGAAAGCATGCCCCAACTACATTTGTTCTAAAATACCCCCTTTTGTTGATAATAGCACAATAACCTGCCCATAATTTAAGCAACAAAAATAGTGTGGTGATAATGGACTAGTTGAACTGCTTCTAGAGATATATTCCAGCATAAGAGAAAAGGGGTGAACACTAACACATTAAAGAAAAAATATCAAGAAATATTAATAAAATAGTGATGTGTTGCTCTAAGGGAGATGAGGATAGCATCATTAGTGCTCGTCACTAAAGAAATATGTATGTGTATATATTCATATAAAATGTTAATAAAATGTGCATATGTACATAGACACATACAGAAGCTTTCATTTACTCATAAAAGAACCACAAGATAAAATGTTGCGATCTCAGCAGAGAAAACATAAAAGTCCACCAGAACAGCTTCTGAAGGAATCATCTTGCCTGGCAGGGACAGGCAAAAAGACAGATCAAGCTTGAAGATCAAAAGAAAAGAAATTACTGAAAACGAGGGAAAAAGAACAGCAAGGCCAGCAAAGAATGTTCCAGCCCATAACGCAGTGCAATCCAGAGAAGAACTGAAACAAGTTCCAAAATTCCCATCCATCTGGAAAACTGGATCAACCATTACCATCATCTTTTCCCCCACCAAGCACAGCCCCATTCTTTCACTTGGGTCATGTGTCTTTTTTATTGAAAGCCTGATGACAGGGATTGTCTAAATATTAATCAGGATAAGTTGCTCTCATAAGTTGACTTAATAAACTGGATACAAAGTTTTTATTCATGAATAAACAAGTGTCATTTTTTTCTGCAACAGAAACAGAACCTTGAGAAAAACATAAGAGAAGCATACCACATACAAGAAACAAGAGTACTAAGTGTGCCAGAAATAGTGCAGCAAAGGTCCTAGCTTTGGCTATCTGGAAATACATAAAAATCTCACAAGAATTCATTAGGAAGAATATATTGTTTAAGATATATTATATTAGCAGAGAGAAATGTAGTAATTTAGGTAACTTCTTTCTTATTCTACAGCTTCCATGCAGACTAAGGAGTTAACATGCAGTGCTCCTTCGGAGAGATCTGCTGTTTTTCACTGGATATTTACAGAATGAGAACTACTGCACATCACTTCCTACATCCAACACTTCGGTTGACTTACACTGTCTCTCCCTTGCCATCCCAAAGTATCAATTTCATTGAAAAAATAGTAAGACTTGGAGCCAAATAACTGTGTTTTCTTATCTACTTTTTTGCATAGCCACCTAGAGAACTGTGTGTGTAACATGATCAATAAATACAATATTCATAGAAGTAACTGCTTCCTTGCCTCAATGGCTTGTTTTACAACCACATGCACCAGAAGATCTACAGTAAAGAAACAATCTTATGGCTCCTGGACAACATTTGTGGGGCTGCAAGGTGGTTCAAATTCTTAGTTCTGAGGTCAGAGTTCCAACTCTAGAATCAGGAACCAAAGCTCTGCCCCCTTCCTTTCTCCCTGGAGGCTGCTGCTCTCTAAGGAATGGAAAGCAACAGGAAAAAAGGGAGGAGATATGAACTATCCTGATGCCTCTTCAGCCTCCTTCCATCCACCTCAGAGATGCTCATTCCTGATCGACAAAAACCGCAATGAGCAGAAAATGCAGGGTTGGAGGCCGTGGAGGCAAAGAGTGCCTCCATTGCTCTTCCCAGACTGTACAGGACGACCATAGCCCTCCAAGTTCAGAGACTTAGGCTAACACCCTAAGAAAGTTGAAAAGTCCATTCTCTCATTTAAAAGCCACCATAAATCCCTATCAAGATTCAGACAGTCTCCCAACTTTCTAAAGCGCAAGTAATACCTTATCAGAAAAACAATTTATTTTAAATTAAATGGTATTTTAATATATTTGAAAAAATGCAGTCATCCATCCAAAATCTTCAGCTATTTCACAAGTTGGAATGAACAAATTGGTTTTCCTATAAATGTACAGCCTTGAAGTATATCAAATTCTTCTTACCAAAGTTACAGCAGTAAGATGGAACAGGTGTTGGCACATTCATCACTGAGTGATTTAATTGGCTCTTCACTCACAGTTTTTAAAAAGTCCTTATCAAATTTTAAATGCAAAAAATTAGGGATATTTTATAGAATGCAAAGAGCATTTACCTGTGGCACAAGGCTGACATGGATGTTGCAAAAGTTCTCTCGTTTGGCTTTAAACTGAAATTGTCGGAAGGCTTCTACAAAGGGCATTCCTTCAATATCTCCGATAGTTCCACCCAGCTGAAGAGTAATGTCTATAGTTAACCAGTGTGTGAAAATTGAAAGAAAATAGACTTATATAAACTCTATCTACTTAAATTTTAGCTTATTCTTCATATAAATAACTAAAATGGGAAGAAACACAGTCATACAGCCAGATCCTCGTAATAACTCAGGCCAATGTATTGTGGCTGTCCACTGCTAATCCATAAGTATAATAGCAATTAAGAGATAATGTAAAAAAAATAAGAATGAAGTAAGAATGGTGCCAGATCAGAACAAATACCTATCTAGCCCAACATGCTCCTCACATACTAGCCAATCAGATGCCCATGGGAAATTCATAAGCAAGATATGAGTACAATAGCTTGTTTGTGCTCCCAGCAACTGCAACACAAAGGCATATTTTCTAGGGATAGTTTACCACCATTGTAACTATAAGTCATTAATACCTTATCCCCTATAAATTTACCTTATCTCTTTTTAAAGTCATCAAACTTAGTGGCTACCACTACATCTTATACATCATAGTGGTGGTATAGTGGTTAGGGTTGAAATGGGACTTTGGAGACCCAGGCGCTAGACACCAGTTGGACATGAAATTCAAAGGAAGTTTTTGGGTCTTTAATTGATTCTAAGCCTAACCTACTTTACATGATTATTGTGTGGATAAGATAGAGAGTAAGAGAATTGCATAAGTTGACTTGGGTTCCTTGAAGGCCTGGGATATAGATATAATAAATAAAAGTATTTTGTGCTGAAATCATAAAATAACCCTTCACTGTATTCACACTTCCACAGAAGGTACATCTATACTTACTTCAATTACACATATCTGTGGTTCTTTCTTATCCCCATCTACAGGAACTTTTGCCTGGTTCATTACCCATTCTTGAACAGCATCCGTGATATGTGGGACAACTACAAGACAAATCAAATATTAATCTAAGAAAAGGTCCATTATAAGAGAGCTACAGAAAAGCAAATTCAGAGACAACTCAGAGGACTAGATTCAAATTCAGAAGCATCCCAACAGACTTCACAAAACATGCAAGCATATACCAAATTCTTTTCATATCTCAGCCTTCAGAATATCCTAGAAGACTATGAAGTAAGATGGACAAAATAGGAAAAAGATCTTACCATAAAGATCATGTTCTCCCATATTTACCTTCAAACACCCCTGAAATCTTCAGAGGCTTTTCTCTGAGTGCCGCCACCAAATGAGATGCCACTGATGACTTCTTCAGAAGGACTTTTTAATGGTGGCACTCTGTTTCCCCCCCGAGTTTCACCTGTTGCCTATTCTGGAATTAGAGTTTATATTTTCCTAGAACTTAAGATATTTTTATCTCTTATATTTTAACTTTAAAATTCTACATCTATTTAATTATGTTTTATTGCTAATTCTTATATTTAGATACTATAAACTACCCAAGCAAAGAACCTTTGGCAACTGTACACCACATTGTTAGTTAGTCAGTGAAATAATGCATGAAAAAATAACTAATTAGGGAACACAAAGCCTTAAGATTATGACACCAGGGCTGAACATGAAATATCCAAAGAAGGTTTCTAAGGATCATAATCTTTCAGTCTAACCTACCAGACAGTGGTTTCTGTGAGGATAAAAATAGGATGACTCTATGTGAAATGCCTAAGGAAGAAACAACAGTATACAAGAAGAATTAATCTGCATGCATTAGAACTACATAAAGCACCTTGAACTGTTTTTCCCAAGTAATCCCCACGCCTCTCTTTATTGATGACATGTTGGTAGATTTTTCCAGTGGTGATGTTATTATCCCTGTAAAGATTAATGTCCAAGAATCTTTCATAGTTTCCTAAGTCGAGGTCAACTTCTCCACCATCATTTAGAACAAACACCTCACCTGAAGAAACAAAACAATTTTTAAGTGCGTTTCAGCACTGCAGAGTAACATCCCAAAGCTTTAAGAAAATGCATTAAACAACTAGATAACTTACAGGATAAGTTTTCAGATACATTTCTATCCTCTAAAATACTCTTCCAAATCCCTGAATTAGAACAGATTTTTTTTTCTATTCATGACCAAAAGAAAAATATACAATGGGTGTTGGGAAGAGGTTCAGAAGAGCTGGAACTCCAAATCTCTAAGATGCCATCTTCATAATCACCTTGCTGCCCATGGGCACTTGCTGAAAGAAAGATGCTGGGGCCCTGATGATTGCTGTTGCATCTGATCCCCATGAATTAGCTAACCTTTTACCTGAATGTGCTTCACTTCCTGTTTCTCTACTCCTGAATATTTCACCTGAGGTTCCTCCCCTCCAAAAAAGAACACTGGCCATATCCTTTTTTCCCAAATGGATCTTTCATGTACTTAGCCACTGGCATTTATACTGAAAAGTTAGAAACTGGGAAGATAATTCATCAGAACATTTGATCCTTCATTGCTCACTTAGTTGCAATGTATATTGTGGGGCTACAGAAAGAAGGGAGAATTACCTGTTTCCCATTCTGTTTATTGGAGTTGCTATAACACTGGAAAGAGGATCCCAACCTCTAGCCCACAATGGGATCCAATCCAGCCCATAGAGAGTTAAGTATCTACCAGAGGCCCTAAACCCTCCTGCTTCTAATCCCCATCCTGAAAGAAAGTAGAATTCTCATGTTATCACCAGAGATAACAAAGGAATCCCCCTCACAAACAAAGGAATCCCACTCATCCTCCATTAAAAAATGATGTTATTTCTGAGCAAGAGCTCCCTCCTATGCCATTTGTGCTCAACTCTGAATATTACTTTCTTATATCCTTGAAGGTATCAACCTCAAAGCAAATTTAAATAAACACACCTAGAAAAAGCCATTTTAAGCAAGCACTGTTGAAGCTGCTAATATCAAGTTGAATTAACTTGCTGATCTCAAGATGAATAAAGCCACCCATAAAAAATGATCAATCCTTTAGAGTTTTATGAAATCTGGTTAAGACAAATTACAAGATTTCATAAAATTAAAGGTAATTCAGGTTATGATCAGCTACAAACATGCATCCAGACCTAGCATCAGCCTTGACTCCACGTAGCTAAGTTTATATTGTATTGCAGTGCTAAGCATTATTAATTGGGAATAAGTCCCCTGTACCTCAGTGGTACTTGCATTAGCTTACTATACATAAATGCAATATTTAAGCTTATCTAGCACCAAACTTTTCAAAACTTCGTAAAGAAAAGGGATGCAACTGTATTTGTAGAGAGAGAGAGAAAAACACTTGTGTCAATCATACCATGCTCATATGGTGAGAAGGTTCCAGCATCTATGTTAATGTATGGATCTATTTTGATTGCAGTAACTCGAAGGCCACATGATTTCAAGATGGTACCTATACTGCTTGCAATAATTCCTTTCCCAATGCCTGAGATGACACCACCAGTTACCAAGATGTACTTCATGGGATATTTAGAGCAACACTGTAAATCTCGAGCTGGAATTCTAAAAGTGAAAAAGTTACTTTATTAACCTCCCAGAAATTTCTTACATGAAAAAGAACAGCTTAGGCTACTGGTGACAACTGGTATTGACCTATAAAGCCCTAAACGGCTTGGGGCCAGGATACCTGAAAGAACATCTTTTTCCCTATACACCCTCCCACCCCTTGAGATCTGCAACAGAGGCCCTGCTCTGGGAACCCTCCTTGAAGGAGGTTAGGAGAGTGAACACCCAGAGCAGTGCCTTCTCTGTGGTGGTGCCCCGATTGTGGAATGCGCACCCCAGAGAGGTTTGCCTGGCACCGACATTATATGCTTTTTGGTGCCAGGTTAAACTTTTTTATTTACCCAATATTTTAAAGTTTAAATATTTTAATCGGGTTTTATTAACATGCTCAGTCACATTTTATCTTGGTATTGATTGTTGTATTTATTGTGTATTTATCACATTGTAAGCCATCCAGAGACTATTGGTATAGGATGGGATAAAATTATCCTAAATAAATAAACAAACTACTACTACTACAACAAACAGCCTATGAACAAAGGAGGTATGTCAGTGCCAACACACAATGAAAAGGGTTTAAAATTCCCAGGTTCCATTCCTGGCATCTCGGTCAAGTGAAGTTTGAGAACTTGCAGAACATCTATCTGTTGGTTTTGATTGTCTTCCCTAACCCAGTGTTCGCCAGATGCTCCCAGGATTCCTGGGCATTGGTCATGCTGGCTGGGACTGGTGGGAAATAGAAATTCAAAATATCAGAAGGGTACAAGATTGGAAGAGGCTGGCATAGCCAATATTCACCTAGCTTGATCAATGGACTGTTTATGTAATGATATAAGGCAGTTTCCTATGTTGGAACTGTTGTTCATAAAATTAACCCCTTAAGCCTGTTTTAAAATGAGTACAGTCCCTGCACTATAGAAGTTCTGTTTCTTCTCACTGAATCATTGAAATAAAATTGAAATACTTGGCTTTTTCCGCTTGTAGTAGCAGAAGCAGCAATTAGATAGGAGGAACATGCATGCTCTTTTCTTCCTGTTTTGTTCATAACATTAAAAAATTGTTGTAAACTTCGCAGAGAATTTTGGATACCAGGAGGTAGAGAAATAAAATTAATAGAATTCTGAGGCTCTTTCTTAAGAACTTCCAATCTCTGTCTCTCTGTACTGTTGAATATACTGATCCTTAAGAATTCACTAGCAAAAATAGAATGCAAGATTTTCTTTGACCTCTCAGCATTTTAAATGCATTCAATCTCTTCAATTAAGGGAAAGCCAATTTTATCACTCCTTTCTATTTTGTTTTTAATACTGTACTATTAATGAGATGGAAACTTTCAAAAATGAGCATTAAAAACAATTTTCTATGATGTTTAATTCTACTATTTAATAGTATAGCAACTGTAAATGCCTACAGTTTCTCATCCTCAACTGCTTCCTGCAACAGTGGGATAACAATACTGACCCACATTAGAGGATTATTGTAAGAAAAACCAAGATGTGAAGCACTCTAAGCATGCCAAAGAGCTACCTAAATGCTAACTGTTCTTATAATATTTGCCGCGCTTGCTAGCAATGCTTGCTGACGGCTGGCCTGGGCTGGCTGGTAACCATTTCTCAACATCCCATAGAGAGAACCACTGAAAAACGCTCCAAGTTAGCCCAAGCATACATTTGAGCAGGCACTTCACGTGCACTGTGCACATGCCATATGATTGCACTGCCCTAAAGCAGTGAATACGTAGCGACAAGGTATTGCAGGTAGATTTATGACTGCTAGGCCTATCCTAAGTAAGCCAGCAACCTTCAGATGCAGTAGAGGACACTGTTCCATTGCTAGTAATACTTTCGGATTCAATGGCCAGTCTTGTCAGCTTCTTTTCATGGAACTGCCAAGAGCATACCACCTGGTCCTCCACTTCAGATGGCAACATTGTACCAGTTTTGCCTCTTATGAAATTAAACTTGTTAATAACAATGAGTCAAGGTAGGGAGAAGAGAACACTGTTGCATTAATGACTAACAAAAAAGTATTAACAAAAAAGCTTTGCTACTGTCTGTTACTATTCAGAGCGACAATGTATTAAGAGTAAAATAACTGTTTTGATTACTTTAATCAAGAAAAGTTATTGACTTCACTTTCACTAAATGATTTAATGTGGGGGTGTTCTTTAAAAGAAAATTGCAAACACCAAAACAAATATCAACACTTCTCCCCAGCATCCTATAACATTGGGCTATTTTCTAAGTCTTTCTTTTTTTTCCTGGAGGATACACATCTCCCAAATCTATTGCTGGGAGTCACATCTGTCTGCCTGTCTGTCTGTCTGTCGCATTTGTATGCCTCCCCATAGCCAGAGGCTCTCTGGGCAACTCAAAGTGCAATATATATAAAATACAGATAAAAATAAATTTAAATCAGAAACAAAACCATAAAACATAGTAAAATTTAAATACATTATAAATATGACCATATAAATAAGAAACAGGAACACAATATGACCAATAAGAATAACCAGTAAAACAATAAACCAGCAGCCATCCAATAATCCAGTCTAAAAAGATACTAAATAAAAAAGTTTTGACTTGGTGTCAAAAGCAAGGCATACTGGGTGCCAGTCACTAACCATAAATATAGAAAATGGCAAGAATTTCACCTAACTCTCACTTTCATTTTCCATTTGAAAACCACAAAATGCTAAGCATAATGCCAAATTCCCCCATGCCAAATATTTACAGTGTTCTATCATATATTTAGGCTGCAATGCTAAAGTCACTCATCTGGGAGCAAGCTCTGCAGAAAACAATGATTTTTTCCTGAATAGATATGTACAGATGTCTCTGCCTATTGGAAACTTATCGGAAAAGGGACTGCTATGGTTTCACTGAATCTAAGATACGTAACTTGCATCTCCTATTCAATGATAATATTTTATTTACTTTTTATTTACTTTTCAAAAAGCAACTGCAAACACTTTACCCCTTGGATCATTATCTACTCAAACATATGTAGCATGATGTTGCATTATGACCAGTAGAGTAACATTAGTAAAGAGAGTTTTGTTTCAGCTAGAAAAACCTAAAATCCTACAGCGCACAGTAAGTACACAACAAAATTCATATAGCACATTTTCCCCTAAAGTCAGAACCAGACAAATGTTCTGAAAGTGAATACCTGTTCAAAACAACATTTATAGATTTTAATTTACATAGCCGAGATGGTACCAGTTTTTTAAATTATTAATTTTTTTATGAATGTTGTGAGCTGCCCCGAGGCTTTGTTGTGATGGGAGTGGCATAGAAATGTTTTAAATAAATAAATAAATGATGTGCAATCCTATGCAGCATTGTAATTCCTAAGTTAAATGGAGTTTATTTCCCTAGAAAGTTTGTTTAGGACTCAGAAGTAAACCCTAAGTAAGCCCTAATGAGTGCAATGAGACTTATTCCGAGCTAAGTGCATACAGGATTGCACCTGGACACACTTTAATTTACAGCTGGGGTGGTTAAGGGTGTAGCTCTATGCCAGTTTAAACAGAAAATTGCCTACAAATCCTAGCATGCCCTAGCCAGCCATTGTGCCTTAAGCCTAAAAGGTGGCGAAGCATTCCAGGATTCTGAACCATTACTCTGATTCAAATGCGCATTCCAATAAGCGTAGGGATGTAAACCTGTGCATTTTTGGACAAGAATCCACCCCCACCATTCCACAGCTGGGATTTTAGTTGGTCTACACATGGACTGTATTGTACCCATGCTGAAAAAGGTTCATTCAAGAAGGTGCACTTTTGCATCTTAAGTACCAATGCAGGATCAGTATTTAAAAAATAAACAGCACTCCCGTGCAGTAGTTTTCCACGTTGAAGACACCTGCACAGTTAAGCTCACTCTGAAGAAACTCTTCACCACAGGAATGTTTCAGACCTGCAAGGGTCACCTACTCAACACATTCATTCATAAGTTACCTAGTATGAGGAAAAAGAAATGTACCTGCTCCTTTAAAAATAAATATCTAGTAGGAACCTTGTAACTGCTTCAGAGACTGGCATTCAACTGGTAAAGTTTTCCCAATGCTAATTGACAATGAGGAAAAGCTTCACCAGTGAAATTTCTGTTCAGAGACCTCGCCATTAAAAAAAAAAAAAAAAAAAAAACCCAGCTGTGGGTGGTTTTTCTAACCACTTTTTTCCTCTCAACCTTTGTCTCCTTTGTCACAATGCCTATTTTACGGACCCTGGCCTGCCATGCAGTTGTGAAAAGCAAAGATGCCCATTCAACCGAAATAATTTTTAAATCGTCAGTCCTCAGCGTCAATGTGCTGCGATCATCAGATAACCGAAATGGCAGCGGCCACAGCCAAGAAGTTCCAAAGCCTTGAAGCTCACTGGGTGACCTCGGGCCAGTTAGTCTCAGCTTAACCTACCTCACAGGACTGGTGTGAGGATAAAGGGGGGGGGGAGGCGACTGCACGCTACCCTAAACAACGGCACTAAGGGAAAAGGTCCCCGGGAAGGAAACTCCGGGACTGGAGCATTCACTATTCAGCAGAGCTGCGGTGCAAGTGGCGGCGGCGCCCCCCCCCCCCGCACCTGTCACGGCAGGTGAGGCGAGGAGGACGGGGTGCGCCCAAAGGTTCAGCTGTCTGCGCCAGCAGCAGCACAAGCGGGCTCCAAGCTGCCGCCATAGCCGAAGGCGGCGAGGCGGGATGGGAACCTGCCTCGGCTAGCCCTCTCAAGTGAAGCGCAGACCCGCCGCGCCTCCTCCTCCCCGCCAGAAGGCCCTCACCTCGGCGTAGCGGCTCCGAGAAGCAGCGCCGCGGCTTGTGGCTCTCCGGGGCAGAGGCTCAGCGACCTCCAGACCGCATGGGGCGGTTGGAAGGTCGGCGATCGCTGTTCTCCCAGAGTCCGCACTCCCGGCGAAGAGGTTCCCCAAGTGACCGCCAGGCGGGACCTGACCTGCAAGCCCACCTACTATCTCCTTCGGAGGGTTTGTAATCGCCTTCAGAGGGGCAGGACCATTAGCACATGGCAACCAAAACAAGAGCCTCTCCTAGCACCTCAATTATCTTGTGCCATCAGCTTCCAGGGATTTTGCCCTCCTCTGATGCACGGCAACCCCACTCCATCACCGCTTCCAACATAACATGTTTCGCCTTTTACACACGACAAGCCTCTTCGTGGGATTTGAGGTTTTTTTGTTTGTGTGAAAAAGCTGCTGCGCAAACTTGCAAAGACTACCATTTAAGGCTGTTAAGAAACCCGGTGAATTTTTTATTTATTTATTAACACATTGCAGAGGAACTTACTACTGGAAAAAGATACGGGGTTAAAACCATTGCAGGGAGCATAATCTCGGCTGAAACACACAGCCCAGAAGAGGAAAACGGGAAGAGGGAGGGCGCTCTTCCTGTAATTCCATGTGGGCGCCACGAAGCTCTTTCAGCAGCCAACCTGTTCCCGTTGCGGCAATAGAGAGGGAGCGCAGAGCGTCGGCTCCCGTAGTGAACATTTAGGAACGCAACCCGGAAGTGTTCGGATTCTCTCTTCCGGAAACAAACGTTATTTTCCGCTCCGCGAGCGGCCTGCTCTTATCAAGTGATTGGAAGCGTTGGAGAAGCGGCGGTTGCGGCTTAGCGGGGAGGAGCGAGATTTGACCGTGCAGTTAGGATGTTGCGCGGTCTCAGTGGCTGGTTTGGGATGGGGCGGGCTGCCGAAGAAGAGAAACCGCGTCTCCTCGGAGGGGAGCCCGGAGCGGGTGAGGGGGAAGAGGGGACTGGAGGGGACGCAGAGGTCCAGAGCGAGGAGCAGGTGGAGCTGCAGGCGGACTCGGACCCGCTTCTCAACCAAGCCAAAGGGCTCGGCAGTGAGTGATTCCGCCCTTACCGCGCTCCCTCTCGCTCTTCCCCACCGATTTCCCCAGCATAAGCATTCTTGCTTCCGAATCGCTAGACACGTCTTTCTCTGGGTGTCTTAGGCCGCTGCAGCCGTGCCAATAATTAAGCCGTATTCCCCAACTCCTGTCACGAACTTTCGGCTTAGACACCCTGTTGCCAGCCTTCCTAAAACTTTAATTTCCTTCATGAGTTTAGGTTGCAATGGACAAACACTTGGGATTGTTAGTCAATTTAAAGTCTAATTGTGTGCGTGGCTAGCTAGGCATGCTGGGAGTTGTAGGCCTTTTTTATCAGTTTAAGTATGCATAGTTTGTACTTTTAGACTTACGGGGGAAAACATCTGATTCTGTTAATTTCGGTGATTATATTCTAATTAGGAGTAACTGCTCTGGGTTAGGCTAACATTGGAAACAAGATTTGCACAGGATGAAGCTTTTCAGAGGTGTGCTCACTAGGGGTTTTTTCCAAGTAAGTGCACTTTTACTTGCACTTGAAATTAAGTGCAAGAGAAGGCAATCTATGAAGCTCTATGTGTTGACTTCAATACAATGGATAGTTAGCGGGGACAATCCTATGCTTAGGTATGTGAAATAAGCCTTACTGAGTTTAGTGGAACTTTTTTTTTTAATAAACATGCATAAAGTGTGGCCAGAAAATAAGTTTCTTTTTGCTCTTAAGAGATTAGAATTGCACCTAAACAGTGTGCTTACCTAAGTCAATTCAGTATGCCAGACAAAGCTTGTGAATACCATGCCACTGCTATTTCTTTAAAACTGTTACATGTATTACATTGTCATACACTGTAAGGCATACATGTTGCTAATAAGAGAAGTTACTGAGCATGGCAGTTTTGACAAATTTTAAAATTTTTCAAGAAATGGATGTACATCTTTGTTCAAGGTCTGTGCCTTTCCCAACTCTTTGTCATGATACTCCTTGAGTTGTTTTGTAGCTAATAAAAGTAGCACATAATTTTCCTACATAACCAGTTTCTTTAAATATTTTTGCTTTCTTAAATTGTTGTTACCTGTTTTACATTTTACTGAAACTAGTCTACAGTTGACTTTAATTTACTAATAGGGAGAGAAAATTTAAATTTAACTAAAATGGCTGAGTATTCTAGAAAATAATTTATTTTCATAAAATGAACTCGGTAACATTCAAGGTTTAAAATCAGGCTGTCCTGCCAAGATTTAAAAGTTCATTTTCCACCCCTTGAAGTATACTAGTTTATTATTACTATTATTATTATAACATTTCTATGCCACCCCTTGCCGAAGCCTCGGGGCGGCTTACAACACAATAAAATACAATACAAAAATAACAATATAAAATTAAAATTAATAATATAAAATAAATAAGAAATATAAACAATATAAAAGAAGTTATAAAAGAAAAGTTGCCCTGGCCAGATACTTTATTCTTCTTTGTATCACATGGGATAGAAAATGTTCCTATTAAGCTGAAACCTGAAAAGTGGGTATTTCTCAGTTGCTTCATGATACATTTTGTGAGGTTGCTTTTCCAGCTGCAACCACTACTTGACTACTTTGGCAATTCATAATAGCTACAAGAAGCTTTGAGTATGGCAAATTGTCATCTTGTGTTTCATAGCCGTAATTGCCACCTTTTTCCAAGGCATATATCTAGTTCAATTCAACTTACAGCCATTACCACAACTTAAGGGGAAAGGTTCTGCAGATTGAGAATAGCAATACTGAACTTTGTAGCGTGTCTATGCCTATAGGTACTAGGGTGGAGTGAGAGTGTACTGAGAGTGTATGTGTTAAAGACTTAAACCACAGGTATAGCCTTCATTATAAGCCTGCAAGCTGCTTTCTTCAATGCTTAATTGGATCCAGTGTAGTGTTTAACTAACTTGACAGCAACAGTATGCTACTAATTTTTTTCATTTAATGCCCTTGCTGTTAATTGAATAAACTTTACAGAGTACAAACAATGATGTCACTGTCATGTGAAATGTCACAGCAATGACATTTACTTTTAAACCTAAACTTATTATTTGTCTACAAAAACACAACTTTTCAATGTAATATTACTTTTAAAAAGGTCTTATCTTACTCTTTACCACCATTTAAAGTTATTAGATGTACAAATGACATGATCTATAAAGCACCTAAGGATGAAGTTGTAGGGGTCTTTTGATTTAATTTCGGGAAGTAAATGTAAAATCAACATTCTGATTTTTTTTTTTTTTTAACTGGTAGAAGGGAATCAGTAGGCCTGACTACTTGTGGAAGGGAAGTGGTGGTGGGCCCCTAAGAGTCTCATGTTGTTATAGCTTAGACTTGTGTTAATAAAAGCTAGTTTCTAAGGCACAGAGGTTTCCTGAGTTTTAATTTCTTATTTCCAAAAGGTTATCTCTTCAGTTTTGCCACTGCTGCCTCAAAAAAGATATCTGAATCAGTTGCTGAAACAGCACAAACTATAAAGAAGTCTGTAGAAGAAGGAAAAATAGAAAATATAATTGACAAGGTACTTTTTCTGTAATCAGATTTAACAGTATATTATTTACAACTGTACATTATATACAGCTCTTATAATCATCAACTTTAAATTGTGTTAAGGCTATTGACATCATCAGAACCAGAAAGTGGATCAACTATTCATGAAAAACTGAAATATGAGACAGAGTAGCAATTAAATAGAAAGTGATAAGAGTTTGGAACTACCAAAGACATACTTGAATTAATAACTACTATTAATTGGTGGGTGGGGAGGTCAGTTCATCTAATTTCAGTCTTTAATAATTTAGAAATTTAATCCAGATAGACTGCAAACACGTAAGATAATTATATTTATACAGTAGCAAGCAGTGTTGCAAAAATAGCTTATGGAACTGTTGCAGGAAATATTAGGGTTCAGCACCTCCCTGCCCTCTACCTGAGCATCCCCACCTGTGCCCTTAAGTACCTTGTATGATTTCAAAAACACAATTCTTCCATTTAGGCAACAACATGTGGCATGTCTAGGTCTACATGCATGTTGTATCTTATTTCCTGTATTAAAATGTAGCACATCAGGCATGTATGTGTGCTCCCTTTACAATGCTGTACTTATATTTTATATTAGTTTGGCAACAGTTAGAAACATACAGGCACTGTGCTATATACTGTATAAGCAAAATAACATGAGATGCCTGTAAAGAACATGCGCCTCTTAGTTATATTCATAATACTGAATATAGAGGCAGCTGTTAAGCTTCTCTACAATCTACCATTAGAAAGAAGTTTGGCCATTTGTACCATATATGGCAAGACAAATGCTTATTTCATATCCAGGCCTAAGAAGCCAAGATATGTGCCAACTTTGGGCTGTACACAGACCTTTTCTCTTCACAGCACCAAGTAAAAAAAAGAGGTCTCTTAGATATGTCTGTGAACCTCAGAACATACCAGTATATTAAAACCCATTTTAAGTTGGCAAAATCCTAAGCTGGTAACCACAGTTTCTAGGTTCAGACATAATGGGAAAATATAATTCACAGCTTCTTAGTTTTCTTGCTGTACAAAGGGGCTGTGTGCACAGGCAAAAAGCTTGCCACTATCTTTGCTTATCGGGCCAACATAGGTTCCTTCTGAATTACCTAAAGAAGCCAACCTGATGGGGTTTAGGTGTTTTTGACTTCAACTCCCATTTACCACAATCAACATGATCAGTGGGCAGGAGTGCTGGGAGCTGTGGTCCAAAATAACTGGAGGGCCCCAGGTTGGGAAAGGCTGACCTAAGAAATTATTTCAGTAACCAAAAGACCAAAAATTCCTACAACTTCCAGCATTCCACAGCCAGTTTAGAGGAATGTATCTTAAGCAGTATGAAGATTGGAAAAAGGAAGAACTGATTGTCTTTTTGTAGCACTCTTTAGAACAGATACTTTTTTATGAGCTACTAAATGTTTCTGGAACTTTATTGTTAGTGATGTCCTTTTATGGCTATTAGTTGAATTTAAATCACCTGATGCAATGTGCACATGTTTAGACACACTGTTGAAATATAGTACATAAGTCTTTTCATCCAAATTTTGTATAGCTGTACTTGTAAATGGAATGTTGGTATCAATAAAAGCATGAATACTTTGACAACTTTTTCCTATTTAAATACTGTGTCCACATTCTGAAATAGCAGCAAGTTATTATCACAAATTACAGGAACCCATGGGTTGTCAAAGCTGTACAACACTCAACTGCGTCCCACTTGCTGCTTCCACTTTACATCCAATTTAGCAGTGTCTGAATCTAACACTTTGGGTTGTTTTACTTATTTACAGCATTTTATGCTATTCCATGTCCAAGCAGATTCTGAAGCAGTGAACTGTATCAAATTAAAACTCTTTTTCCTTGTAGACAATTATAGGAGACTTTCAGAAGGAACAGGAAAAATTTGTTCAACAGCAACAGACAAAAAAAGCAGGTAATGTGTAACTATGTTTACTAAACTGGAATAATGTTCAAAACATTTTCGGTTTCTTAACACAATGTATGAGATGAAAAACTTCTAGCTTTTACCTTTTGCTAGAATTCAAAGTAACCACCACTGCTTGATTTCATCATGATTGGTAATGGACATTTTAATCTACTTCCTGCTCTAAATTCTACTCACATCCTATTGCCTTCTGTGAATAAAACTAATAAAATTATAGTCTTAAATAATTCCCCTGATTATTTTTAAATTCACATAAAGTTAGGAGAAAAGATCAGTTCTGTTCAAACATGGCTGTGTTTACCTTTCCAGACTATTATCTGATTAATTTCATGGAAGCATTGATGCAGTTCTCAAACACATTAGTTCTATAAACCATAAAACATCTTTCTATATTTTTCATTTTAAGATAGATTGGGAATAAGTACTGGACTGTATGCAGTGGTCTTGGTTTGCCAGCAGAACAAACACCACTAGTGAAATGAATTTCCCCCTTCAATTGCATAATTTCTTTTCAAATGTCCCCTGGTAGGTTCAGGGATCCTCCATTTCATATTGGGAGGAATGCAGTGAAAGGAGAGAAAGACCAATTGCAATAAATTGGAAAGAGCCTCTTATTTTGGCACAGTGTGTATTTTTCAAAGCAGGCTATCATGTCATTCCATAATGTATGAAATAGAAAATGTAGAACGAAAATTGAATCAATAAAGCTGAGTAAAAATAGATAGCAATTTGGATTATGTTCTGTCAGTCTATAAAATAGTTACTGTAATGTGAGGAAGTTAAGATATTGGTGATTATTTTGGTGAAAGTTAACTGCTTAAAATGCTTTTACCAAAATTATATTTCATATATTAACTAGTTCTTCAAAGATAGCAAATTCCTTATTTGGCCAACAAGTTATGTTTTCCAGATGGGCAGTCAGTTTTATTTTATAACAGAATTTCAAAGAGCTATGCAGTGAACAAGTTCTTGGTATTTCTAGAGCATGCATTTATACATTGTCCTTCCTCTGAGGATGATAAATAGATTCTCCTCCTCCTCCTCCTCCTCCTCCTGTTATTATGTTCTCAACAATCCCATGAGAACTTGGAGGGAGGGGGTGATAATTGGATGGCCAGACAAACCAACTGACCAGCTTAGTGAGTTTTCCAGCTGAATGGGAATTTGAGTGCAGATTTCATTGATCCTAATTCAGTATTTTATCTGCTATTTGGCACATTGGTTCTAATTAGCAAAATTATCACATTAAAGATACAGGGCCCATTCCACTAGGGTTTTCTTTACTATATGCTCTAGTGAAATAGCTTCCTCTTGGAAGTAGCATAAGATTGCTTAACAGGATCGTAACCTCTGAAACTCAGCTGAGTTGTAACTCTGGTTTGTTTGTTTATACACACGTTTGTGCATGCACACACATGCTAAGGGCACAGTTTGACACTTGCATCCATCAGCTATTGCCGCACATAGAAAGCCCTAATCAATTTATTGGTGATATTACCAATCATTTAGGGGAGGTGGAAAAAACTAGCTAAACGGAGTTTCCCTTGGTCCTTTCAGTGATAATGACAGAGGTTGAGTGCGCATGTTTTTGTAACATCAGGGATCAAGCACGTTAACTCTGCTGCTACGTGTGTGTGGTTGGATTGAAGTCATGATCTGTTTCTAAGAGAATACCATGATGCCACAACAGTTGTATACAAGTTTTTATTTGAGATTAAAATCATTTGTGTACTGCAGTTCATGTGAATAGCTAGTTTCACTGTTTAAGATATATGAGCTACATTCAAAACAGGCTTTCTGTGAATGGAAAGGAGAGCATTTTTCCCCTTCTTTAAATCTTCTGTATCATTCCCAACACTGATCCATTCTTCTGGGAGTACAAAGAACTGCAGGAAGAAGGGCAGGAAATCAGTGCAAATTATGTCCTCTGCTCACCAGGGGATGGAACTACACTCAAATATCTGTGGAGCTGATCCTATTTGTATGAAATATGGTTGACTTATTAGATTTCTGACTTATTAGATGTCTGCCGTAACATTTCTGAATAAATGTCATGTAGGAATTGATGGGAATCTCAGTATGAACAGTTAAAATGATAGGAGGTTTTAGTTCAATTGAATTCCCCCAACAGATCTTTTCAAAGAGTATTTCTCAGTCAAGGATGCTAGTGGTTCAGTTGACTCTTGCTACTGAATGCAGTTATAACAAACATTTTTGCTTGCAGATGCAGCTGTGCCTCCTTGGGTAGACAGCAATGAAGAAGAAACAATTCAACAACAAATCCTGGCCTTATCAGCAGTAAGTGATGTTTTGCTTTCTTGATGAAACTATCACTTTTCTTGGAAACACATCTTTCAAGTAGTGTTATTTAAAACAAAACTTTAGAAACTTCCCCAGGTCAGACCTACCATTAAGTAGGAAGCCATATGACTAATGGAGTGAGTTAGAAATCTAATAAATAAGTAATATGTGAAGTGAAGCAGCTGCTAAAGGCAGCTGATTTTGATGTTCTATGAGTTTAGCTCTCTGGGTAAGGTTCTTGTGGCATTTTCTGTCTTGGATGCAAAAATTTATTTGGTCTACATTGGATACTATACATCTTGATTTGGGAAGAATGGGTCTATTTGAGTTGGGCAACAAAGTATTTTGGGCCAGTCCAGAGCTTCTCTTCCTGAAAGGAGTTTTTCTATGTATCTAGCAGAGTTGCATGGTGGTGTTATTCACTTTTCAAAACAATGGATTGGCAGATAATATTTGGACCATTCCTTCATTAACAATACATTTTATTTTGAAAAGGACAGAAGAAACTTCCTACGTGATCCACCAGCAGGGGTTCAGTTTAATTTTGACTTTGATCAGATGTATCCAGTGGCAATGGTAATGCTTCAGGAAGATGAGCTTCTGAACAGAATGAGATTTGATCTTGTCCCAAAGCAGTGAGTGATCTGTTTGTCAATTCTCAAAATCTTCTTAACTGTTTTCATAGCTCTGAGTAAAAAATAACGCTGTCTTAATAATTAAGATGTAAAGAGTGTGGTCTTGTGCGTGTTTAAGAGAAAAGATTCTACAGTTCCCAGCATTTCCCAGACAACTAGGCATTGCAGGACTTTTTTTCTACCTCAACAAGCATAGGATTGCACCCTAACGCTCATTTACTAACATCCTTAGTTCCTCTTTGTAAAAATGTGACTTGATAGTTAGCTTATGGTATACTATTAAAAAATCTGACAGTCACATTCTAGACTTGAAGATATAATTATTTGTTGTGCAATTTTTGTGGGAAATTAATTTTAAATGCTTTTATACCTATGTTTGAATAGATTTCCGTTTGGTTATAATTTTATGTAAAGTTATCCTTGTCTACCAAGAAGAAAGTTCAAGTCAGTTAAATAGGACTTCCAAGTAAATCTGCATAATATTCATTTGGGAATCTACCACCAGAAGTCCTGTAGACAAACCAGCATTTTGCACCACATGTAAATTAGTGTATACCAATGAAGATATTTCAGGACTGCAGGTGGCGCAGTGGTTTAAACTGGGCTGGTTGATCGAAAGGTCGCCGGTTCGAATCTGCACAACGGGGTGAGTTCCCTTTGCTCTGTCCCAGCTCCTGCCAACCTTGCAGTTCGAAAGCATGCAAATGCAAGTAGATAAAAAGGTACCACTTTGGTGGGCAGGTAACAGCTTTCCGTGCACTTAGGTGTTTAGTCATGCTGGCCACATGACCACGGAAACTGTCTGTGGACAAACGCTGGCTCCCTCGACTAGGAAATGGAGATGAGCACTGCCCCCTAGAGTCAGGCATGACTGGACGTAACGTCAAGGGGAAACCTTTACCTTTTAATGTGGATACTTATGCCAATGTACTTAGTATTTTTTCCTCTTGTTGAAGAAAGAGTGTGTATACTAGGTTATGAGTGTCCTGCATGGCCACCACATCACATGTTACTTTGTTGATGTAGGAGGTACACACAGATACACACCCCATGTAATGTGTGAACTGTCCCTATTGTTAACAAGTAGAATGAGATGCAGTCACCCTAAGATTAAAATAATTTTATTTTGATTTATATTAGCCATTTAAAATAAGTTATGTGTTAGGGCGGTTGCTTTGCAACCTAAGTATGTCCCATGATGCAACATCAGCATAGTTATCAAAACCATATATTTACTATCTTCAGCGTAAAGGAAGAAGTGTTCTGGAGGAATTATTTTTACCGCATATCCTTAATTAAACAGTCTGCACAACTCACAGCACTGGCTGCACAACAGCAAGCAGTAAGAAAGGAGAAGAATGGCAGTGAAGAGGAAAGACAGTTAACAGGTAGAGATTTGTTTTGAACAAGCATTTCATTATATTGTATAGAAACCAGTTTCCTGATTTTTTTAAAGACATTCTGGACTTTCTTCTTGAAGGTTATTTTAAAACTATACTTTAGAGGTGGAGAAGCATCAGAAATATAAATGTTTAACCGCTTGGGAGCAAACAATGTATTTCTTCTACCATATAGCAGATATTCATTTGGAAAAATTAAAAGTTTTACTAAAACTGCATTTTAAATAAAATGCATGTGCTTAGCAAGTCAGCATTATCAAGGTACCAAGTTGGAATTAAATCTTCAGGAATATAGTTAACCCCCCGCTCCAAAATCCAAGTGTACCTTATACTTGGAAAATGTGTGGTAGTCCTATTAGTAATTAGTGTCCATATGAACCTATTTAGTAATGCTAAACATATTTCTCAAATAATGCTGTTGGTTTTCTACAGACATATCTTCTGAGAACTTAGTAACCTCTTTCTGTAACAAAAACTTACGTCAGCATTTGAACTGACTACATGTCTGCCAGGAGCTTTATGAGAGGTGTTAGGTTCTTCTCAGGAGATGTTTAAGCTTTACTAATAAAACAAAAGAGTGTAGCACCGCTGAAATGGAGTGGTGTTACTAAGCTCAGCTCCTTCTGTGAATTAGTTGAAAAGAAATTAATGTGTTTTATCTGTGAGAAACAATTTGCATATTAGGGTCCTGAAAATAGATGAGAGCTTTGCCTACCTATTCAGGTTCAGCTTATTTATTATAAAATGTCTAATTATAACCTGTCCAATTACATTATTTTCCAATGTGGAAAATGTAAATGTTTTCATATCTAGGGTTCTTCACTTTTGCTTTTCATGGCATGTGTGCTGTTGCCTTCTGGAGCTGATGGGAGGGGCAAAGTTTGTTACTGCCTCCTTGTCAGCTCTTTGGAAAGAAGCCTGAGCTCACTGTCTTGATGAACGACAAGGAATACCTTAGTAGCACCCAGTCAGACCAACAAATCCAGCCACCCTTCCACCATGGTTTGTCAAGGTATATATGTATTTCAGCAAGCCCGGGATTTGCACATTCCCCTATCCTTCCTTCATACCTGCTTGTCTTTGCATGTGGAGGGAAAGCATTTAATATTTTTGGTTGAAGTTGGTAACAGACCATTTTCCTAGTTTATACAAATATGTGAAACTGCATTTATTATTAGCCACAGTTAACAGCTCAGGATCTTATGCCAGTTGGATCCTGCTTGACATCCTGATTTGTACCAGTATCAGTGTATCTACACACAAAATATTTACTAAAGTTTGTAACAGGTAGCAACCAGACATTTAAATGTCCTTTTGTAATGGACAGAGGAAGGAGTGGGAGTGAGGTAGATGAGCCTGAATAAACAATTATGTCTGTATCACTGCAAACTATTCAGAAGTTAAGCTTTAAGTACTCTCCACATCTTAAGGAATGTTTTCAGAATTCTACCTTTTTCCTTGTTTCTTAGAAACTGTGAGGCCAAAGACACCACCTGTAGCAATCAAGTCTCAGCTAAAACCTCAAGAGGTAAAGTGAGTGAGGATTAATATATGGATTCACACTATAATCAACTTTTGAGTTTTTGTTTCTAAATAATTCACAAAAAGCTTATCATAAACATACTAAGGCAATTGAGTTCAGCTGTAACAAGGTTTAAAATGGAATTGAAAAGCAGCATGGTCAATTTTTTTAGTTCAAGTAGTTGCTTATAGTAAGTATTTCTAGCTAACCGGATACGCTTTTATGTTCCTCACCAATATAACATGTTTCCTTGACTTGGAAAACTTAGCACTGTACTTTGGTCAGTGTCAGAGATCTCTCGCAGGGTGAGAGAGAACAGAGTGCTGATCTTCTCAGCTGGAAAACAGAGGAGATATCCTTGTGAGTTTTAGCAAGAGATGGAGAAAAGTAGAATTGTAGGTGTACAGAATGTGGACAACTGCAACCAGAAAACATTTTTAACACTCATCTAGACCTGTTGCTGCATTGCAGTTTTCATAACAACAGAGAAGGAAAATGATTCCCAATGGATCTCAAACCTCCACTTTTCCAACTTTCTGCCACAGTGATACTGATCAATGTGAGCCACTTAACACATCCCAGGCTACAGTATTTGTTTCATTCTGAGTATGGATCCTTATATTTTTCCCTTCCTGATAATACAGGAATAGCAAAAATGCCACTAACTAAAATTGGTCATAGTAACAAAGGGTTATTTACATTTTAAATTCCCTTCATCTTTAAAACTTTAAGGAGGATGAAGAGATTTCCACGAGCCCAGGTGTTTCAGAATTTGTGAGTGATGCATTTGATGCATGCAACCTAGATCAGGAAGATCTGAGAAAAGAGATTGAACAACTTGTGCTTGACAAGAAAAAGGAAACAAACACTGCAGAAGGTAAAGATTGTTCATATCTATTAACTTCACTTATGTGTGGGATTTTTTTAAAGGTAGTACTTATTTAAATTCTACTTCTGACTTTATATAGTTGTCTACTTCCCATTTCAGATAGATGTCTGATAGCCTCTGGTAAAATGAAAGCAAATGGAAGAGAGTCTTTCTTTTACCATGGCTTATCTTTCCTACATTGTGTAATTTTACTTAGCACACCTTGTTAGAATTGTTTAACCAAAGTATATTAATATCTGCTAGATTTTGGCTGTAGCAATATATTCAGAAAGCAGCTTTTGCAGGTAGAGATGTCTGACTGTCTAAACGTATAGGAAATTGCAGGGGGGGGGGCATTTTGCTAGTTGCTCCGTCAAAGGAAGACTAAAAATAATTTTAGATAGAAAAAAGTCAATATATCCCAACGCAGAGAAATGGTGTGTAATGGTACAAAGGAAGAGTGCAATTCACTGCTAGTTCAGAAACAGCTTCATTAATACAGTTTACCAGTAAGTATGGGAGGTGGGTGTTCATGCATGCAAGCAGCTCTGGTACTCTCTCAGTATGTTTTCAAATGGACGAAACATGCCTGTGAAATGGACAATCTTGTGCAAAATCATGGCTTTTGTTTAAGTGTCTTACAGCCTTTTTTCTGTCTAAACTTGCATAGAATTGTTCCTTTGACACAAATATGACTGGCAACAATTCCTGTGATCTCTTGGTATATGTTTTAAGCCATGGATAAGCGCATGCTTAAAGTTTGGAACACTAAATATACCAAATGTTGTTTGAATCAGCACATAGCTTTATAGGATTTTCTTCATGTTTGATTCAGAGCTGGAAAATTAGGGGTAGGTCTACACATTCAGCAGAGTGAAACTGTAGAATTAACTCTACAGAATGAAGTAGCAGAGAATTAGCAGGGGGTATTCCACCTCTGGGTTTTTTAACAGTCTTTGCAAATGAAATAAAATGTTCCTCTAGGTATGTGTTTTGCTATACTTATTTTTTAAATATAATTTGTTTTAATTTGAGGGAACATTACAAAAAAGTGATTCCCCTATGTGCAGTTTGAAGTGGTCCATTTTACTCTTCCTTCTGTTGCATTATAGACTAGGCCAAATTTTAATTAAAAAATAGCATACTGAATGTGCAAATGTAAAACTTCAACTGCATCGAACTTTCATAAGTAAGGCTGTATGATTTCCTAAGTCTATGTATGTTTTGCTTATCTTTGAAAGAAACTACAGACTGGGAGGAAGAACTGCAACAAGAGCTTCAGGAATATGAAGTAGTTACAGAGTCAGAAAAACGAGATGACAACTGGGACAAAGAAATAGAGGAAATGTTACAGGAAGAAAATTAACCTCTTTGCACAACAATTTTGTGGAAACTGAAAAACCTGTTTTTATACTTGCTTCAAGAACTTTTTGGAGGCACAAAATTGCTCTTTGTAAAATAAGACTCCAGGTGATACATAATCAGGTGTAAACACTACCCTATGGAAATCTATTCATAATCTAGCAGGGCCTTAAGGCAGGTTTTGACTTGTGGAGCTGTGAGAAAATCCTTAACACACACACTTCATTTGTCAATTTTGAAAGTTAAAGGAGTTATAAAAGTGAGTTCCAGTGCTGCACAAGGGAGTGCTTTGAAGCAGAAAGAAGTTCCAGAGCAAGTGCACAAGTGGTGGCTTGTATTTAAAAGAGCTTTATGGAGCACTGGTCTCATTATGTTACTTTCAGGTGGATAAAAATGGTAGCTGGATGTCAGACAGGAATACTGGTTTGTAAGTTAAACTTTTCTGAACTGATTTCTTTAGTAGAAAACTTGTATTTAACTACTTTTGTGCAAGTAGTGGCATACATTGATATTCTGATCTCTGTGGTTCATGTATAAATAACAATTTATGAAAATAAATCTGGCTATTAGGTTTTTAAAAAATATGCCCTAGTATACATATGATCTTTTAGGAAGAACTGTGTTAACAGTTCAAATTGATCAGTTGTCTTACAAAACTTCTGATTTTACAGTGGTACAGTGTGGCTAGCTGAAAATTAAATCGTTCCATTAATTTTAGTTGGTGGAAAAACAGAGTTGTATACAATATTGATCAATGATATTTAAACTGCCTGAAGACATGAAGTTAATGTTCTGTTGAGTAAAGTTCAAGCTGTGGGCCTTGATTCAGTGTATCACCTTCAACTTCACATGAGTCAAAAGTTCTCATGCATTTCTTCATGTTAACTGTTAATATACAATATACTGTAAAGTGAGTATTAAAATGCCTAAGCTGAAAGGCAAATGCTAAAAGTAACTAGGAATTTGGACTTGGTTTGGAGGCATATGACCAAGTAGTGCAATAATAAATGTTAAGCATCTGTTAAGTGGGAGGAACATCATAGTAGTGAAGAAAAGTGTCTTCACATCAAAAGTGAAGAAAGTGATGTCTTACAGATGGGTAAAAGAACAAAAGGCATTCTAAACTTGACTGACTGAAGATAATGTCAGATATCATATCTACTTTAGGCTCAGTTGTGGCTTCCCTAGCACATATATACATAATTTAACTACTAGAAGTTTGCTTTCTAGTGAACCATCTGGAAGAGTTCTTGTTATTATGTTACATTTATACCCTGACTTTTTTTTATAAGAAACCTAAGGCAGTTTGGTTAGAACAGTTGAACAAATGAATGGGTAAAGCATTTACTAATATTCTTTAACATCAAAGTTGTAAAGGATTCATGATATGCCTCCCATGAATTCCAAAATAAAGTTTTTTCAATCATAAGCAGGGTTTTTATTTTTTTTCTCTGATAGCTTGTTTCTCTGAAATGTGGGATCCTCCATATTTTAAACCTGTGAATTTAGTACTTAGATTGTGAAGAGGAATCTGACAAAGATTGAGAAGGGGCATAGCATAAATATAGTTTACAGTTATATTGGGAGAGTAATAAGGGAAGCTGTATTATAAATTAAAAGATCATTGCAATTTTGCTGAAGAAAGAATGATGAACTTTAGGTCAAACATTACTTAAGTTTTGAACTAGGAAAACCTTTATTTAAAAATGAAAGCAGTAGAAAAGTGGGTCTCTGGCTCAACACACAAATGTCAGAAGGTCAAAAATGTGTATCAAATGTATAGAGATGGGTTTTACAGTTGCATACAGTGTCTAAGAGTACAATCCAGCATGGATGTCTGTAACCAGCCAAACCCTGTGCATTACATACATTCAGTGGAAGGCAGGGGGAACAGAAAGGCCAGTATTGCCACTGTTCTCCTCTCACCCTGCAAAACATTTAGATGGCCAATTTTAGCACCTAAGTGTATTCTCCCTCTCATGAGAAAAGTCTATGGTAATGCTAGAATTGTTCAGAAAATAGCAGTGCTTCATTCTGCCCGCTATCCTCCTGGAATGCTTCACTCCCACTAGTTCCCTCTTTGGAACCCAGCTGGCACAGAAAGAACCATGTCACCTATGAGGGCAGAGTCCCAGCTCTGAAACCACTGTTTTTTCTAAGGTTTCAACAGTATGATACAGAATGCTTGGGTTTACAGTTTAGGTCCTAGCTGCATTGGAGAGTCAGGTACTCCTCAAGGAGATGTGGATGGTGGGGATACAAAGTCTATGTATGATATCAGATGCTGCCCAGTAGAAGGCACAGTATAAGACTACATGGATTTGAGGAATGGTAGTACAAGCCTAGCTAGTCTTCTGAAAATTTAATAATTTGCTTAACTAAATTTAAGAAAACACAATTGAATATACTCAAAGTGGTAAAATATACTTCATTTTAGTAGGTATGGATAGATCCATACCTCCATCATCTGTTCCAGCAAGCCCAAGTCTAGTAGTATTGTCTTGCATTGACAATTTTTTCCAATTATGTGGTAAGGAGGTAATTGAAAAATCATGTAATTCATTCTATTTAAAAAGAAAAAAATAGTAGAAAAACCTTGAAAGGAAAGATAACCTGTCTCTGGCTGACTTGTATGCTGCGTGGTGGCCATTGCTTCTTTTCTTGGATGTACTTGAACTGTGTTTTATTCTTAATATTGTTTTTTTTCATAATATTGTGTATTTTATTCATAATATTATGTGTGAAGTCTGAAATAACCGCTTTTCTAGGTTGCTTGCCAAGGTTCTTGCAAAGAATGCTATATCTTGAATGTATACTTCCATAGTGAGCACTTAAAACAAAAGGAAAGGAAGGTAAGAGGCCGACAATAACTATTAAAATAATACAGGCCTGAAGTTATACCAAGTGTGGTATGAAGTGGTAAAATTACCACAGCACTAGGAAAATACCTTTATTACAAAAGGTAACATAAATCAGAGAACTCCTGAAGAGGCCTCCTTTCTCACAATTCAAATATTGGCAATTACTCTCCCTGTCCAACTAATCAATTGAAACTTATGGATAATTCTAAAATTACTAGATTTTATTTGCTTAAAACATTTCTATCCTCCTTTATCTGAAACGGATCTCAAAATGGCTTACAACCCATAAGTTTCTACACCACAATTAAAAATACAAATACAGTACAAAAATGTACACTAATATAATCCCAATTAATTGATGAAACAAGCAATCCTTAAAATACTGAGTGAATAAAAAGGTTTTGGCCTGGCACCACAAAGAATATAGCATCAGTGCCAGATGCACCTCTTTGGAGAGTAGGTTCCAAAGCCAAGGTGCTACCACGGAAAAGGCCCTTCCCCAGGAAGCCACTCTCTAACTTTCAGAGAGGGCTTGTTAAGCAAGACCTCAGTGGAAGATCTTTTGAGCAGGTATATATGGAAAGAGACGTTCCTTCAAATATCCAGGCCCCAAACCGTTTAGAGTCACCAATTCAATGTGAGAATGGCATCAAAAATCAAGTTCTCTCCTTCCTACGGAAATTAAAGTTGTGCCTAACAGCATGCATTAAAAGGAAAGCAGGAGAGCGAGCAGGAGGTTGCAAATCTCGCGAAACTAAAGGGAACTCACCGGCTGCGGTGTCGCACTACTCTGCCAGAGTGCCTTAAAAGCAGTAGGCATCTTCTCAGGAACATTGGCGCGTCGTCCCCACGTTCAGGAAGGAAGAAACACGGCCTACAAACTACATCCCCCGGAAAGTAGTGGGTGGAGAGCAGCCTGAGATGCTTCGACGGGTCATTCTAGAGGGAAGGGGCTGTTTGAAACATCCTGGCCGATCCCCTGAGCGCGGATGAAACCATATGCCAATAGCGGGAGGTCACAGGTGAAATAATGGTGTATTATCCGTCCCAGGTCGTCCCAAAAGGTCGGACCACATGGCTGGCATGGGGATTCCGGGAGTTGTAGTCCCACATTTCAGGAAGGCGGCCCTTTCGGTGTCACATGGTCTAGGAAAGCGTGCCTGCTCATTAGTCGAGATGCGAACGAGGCGGGGGACCTTTGGCGTGGGTCGGCTTGTTTGGATGCCGCCGTCACACTATGGCGGCGCTCAGAGCGGCACCAGCGTGTGTTGGAGGCTGCCCTGAGGCGGAGAACGAAAGGCGCTCCGAGCAGCCTCGGGAGCAGCCTGGGCGGCCGGACGCGAGAAGAGCAGCGCCGCCGGGAGAAGCGCCAGGCGGCTCCGAGGTAAGCGCCTTCCGCTTGCCTTCTTTGCAGGGGATGCCTCGACTCCACGCCGCGCTCGCTGCTGTCCAGCTGCTCGGGAAAGAGGCGTCCCTCGCTGCTTTTTGGGTGCCCAGATCGAAGTGGAGATGAGCGGGGGGCCGCGAGCTGCGTTTGCAGGCTCCTCTGGCGGAACGCGGCCGCGCACGTTGCACAGGAGGAGCGCCGCGCACACCCGCTCATTCTTCGCGTGATGCTCTCCTCACCGAAGGGGACGCCTGACCTGAGCTCGGCCGAGGGCGCAGTGACAGAGGCTCGGCTGCCAGACAGGACTCTTTTGAAAATGCATTCGGTGAAACGACATTGCGTCGTGTACGAGCGGTCATTTTTCCTTTTGGCGAAGCCCGGCGTGTGTGCTGTTTCCCTGCCAAAGGGGTTGCAGGTGACCCTGGTGAGGAGGCCCCGCTGCTTGGCAGAGGAAAGCTACAAAAGGATGACTTTTCTTTTTGAAAGAAGGAAAAGTAGCAGATTAGCGGGGAGAGGCGATTAAGCAGTAAATACCCATTTCCCTCTACCATGACGCAGAACCTACGAAAGAGGAGGGGAGCACCCCTGATCCCATTCAAACCTCGCCAGCAGCACACTGTCTGCCTCTTCTTCGGGAAAGGGGAGCTTGCAGCTGCCCTTATCTGTTCTCTTTCACACCTACTCAGTGCCAGCGTGGCAGGGAGCATTGGGCCCAAGCTGCTGCTCACTCCATACTGGTGGCTGGAAGAGCAGCTGCCTTGTCCTCTTGATCGCATGTGCTCTCCCTACGTTGCATGGCAGTGAGGATTTGGCCTACAAGCCCAGTCCTCCACACAGCCCACTGGGAGGAGGGCTGAATGAACTCGAGGGAGCAGGTGGCATTTGCTTGTTCTTTCTGGGTAGCCAAGACCCAGAGATAGGGTCTGCCAAAGAGATAGGGCAAGGAAGAGTGGAAGCAATTGTATAAAGCAGCCTTCAATTTCTCAAGCCTTGAGAGAAAGAAGATTTGCGTGATAGTGAGACACACAAGCTCTCACTTGTTCTCTGAGTGGCATGCTTCTGCAGACAGGCAGGGTGCCTTTCTCTTGCTCACTTTGTTTGGGTATCGCACCCTGGGTAGATTGGGCCCCTGGTGCTGCCAATATATTAGCAGCACCTCTGTCCACTCACCACCTTTCTTCTTACTTCAGAGCATATGAAGTTGGTCTTCGAAGGAGCAGCCTTCTCTTCTCTCTTTGTTAAACTAATACTCCAGGCAGTACAGAGCAGTCATTACGCCACATAATCCAGCCTTAATTTATCTAGAGACCAATGATTGAACATAGGATGGTTGCCGCTGATTGCTTACCTGCCCTTTACTTAATGAAGAAGCCACGTTCTCTTTCTTCCTGAATAGGGTGCAAGATTGGACTAGGTAGCATCATCTGCACTGCCACACCATTCAGAGAGAGAGCAGGTGAGTGAGGAAGAGATGGGTGCTCCATTAGTGCCCATCTCTCTGAGCTAAACTGCTCACAAATAAAGCAGGCAGAGACCCAGTCCTCCTAGCTGTAGTGTCCAGTGGGTGAACACAATAAATAGGAGCAGCTGTTTGTCAGGGGAGCCCCTCTCCTTTTCACCTCAGTTCTTTTTCAGCCTCTGCTGAAGAGGTAGGAGAAAGGGAAATTGTTGTTTACTACTGATTGCCTTGCCTCACCCAAGCTGCTGCTCTTCCTTCTAAGTATGTCACAGCATTAATTACCCCCTTTCAATTATATAATATCATGTCGAGTCAAGCTTTCAGATTTTACTATGATTCTTTGGTTACTGCCTCATTGTTGAACTCACCTTGTTGGTTACACTTCTACCTGACCCTGCAGGAAAGGTAAGCAGGGAAACATCACTGCAGATAGAGGGCTTCCATCAGCCTTTCCTGTGGCTGGCAGGGATAATACTGTTGTGCAGATGTACAAGGATACAGAAGAGTGACCAGTTAAGTCACCATTTAACCTTTACTGCATGAAGAGCAGGTGAAGAGTATCTGCTTTGTTGCTGCTGGTGCAGCTACCCAGGGCCCACTTTGTGCAGTGAAAGCTAAGAAAGCCCTTCTTCCAAACCATGGAACTGGGAAGCAGGTATGGATTGCTGTTCAGCTGCTGGGATGATGCTAGCCCATCTTTGTCAGTTAACATGCTTGCCATAGGAAAGCAGGAAATTTGCCACAGTGAACAAACCTGTTGAAGTATATACTTATATGTTCATTAGAAATTATTGGTAGAAAATTCAGCTTTATCAAGAAATTAAGTATCACTAAAATATCATGAATGGCCTATCAAGGACAGGGCATTGAGAGCATTCATCTATAGGTAACCATAAACTGCACATAAGAAATGAATGCACACTAGGCTAGTTTTTGCCAAGTACTGTCCAAAATATGGGGGGAAAAGAGACTATTTTTCCCATTTCAGATTTTAAGTACTACTCAGTGGTTCAAAGAAGTTTACAACAAAGTAAAAGCAACAATCAAACAGTGCAGTTTATTAATACACAAACATGTCCAGCAGTGAGCTTATACAAGAGCAGTGATTTCAGCCAACACCAAAAGGCATCTAGTTTTTACTACATCTAGTAAGGGCAGATGTTTATCTTATTCACTTAAGATACTACATGTGAACAGGCAGCAAAAATGGAAAGAGTTCAAAAGACTAGCATATAAAAGTCCTCCCTACACCTGGTAGCTATCCACAGGAAGGTAGTCCAGGTCTCCAAGAAAGATTTCAGAAGCCAGGTATGTCCCTACAGGAGCAGGCTGCCCTAGTACCACACATTTCAGGCTTTAAAGGTCAAAATCATCAGTTTCATCTGTACTCAGAAGCTAACAGAAGGCACTGAAGTTCTTTAAGAACTGACAAGATGTTCCTTCCTGTGAAATAAGTCAACAGCATGTTTCATAGGGCTATTTCTAGTTTCCAAACAGTCTTCAGTGAGAGCCTTGCATAATACACTTTTTAAATAATTAACTTAAATGTTACTAGAGCATGATCTGGCCAGATCATACTTTTCCAAGAAAAATGGCTATTGAAGATGGCATGTAAATGTTGATATGCATTTTTAAAGCACACTCTTGTAAATTCTTAAGGGAAGGTGTATTATTAAGACATCTTTTTAAAAGCAGCTCTTTGTTTCAATAGGGATGTATGACTGCTGAATTGCTACTGGTTTATTTATTTATTTACTTATTCCTTTGCAAGAAAAGGGAGCCACAATTTCAAAATATTTTGATGCTACAGTTCAGTTCTGTGGTTAAAAAACTTGTTTAACTGGCTTGAATAGCCTTCTACAAGCCCCAGCCCTTGCTGACATCACATTAATATGTATAACTTTGTCAGCCAAAAAAGGACAGAACCCAACATTCTAAATACTATTTTCATCCTTTTTACCAATGACAGCTATGGAAATGTCTTGATTTAACTTTCCTAAAAGAGATGGATTATCCTGTTCAAACTTGCTTAAAATTACAAGGTATCTTCATGCCCATATACATAGAAAAATTACTGCCAATATTTCACAAGGTTTCCCAGATTTCAGTTCATTACCTCTCATATTCAGAGCCAATTACTTGCTCTAGCTTTATTCAACAACTAATTTATAGAATTCTGGAAAAATGCCTAATTTATTTATTGATCTTTGGGTGTCTTTTAAATTATTTGAATTACGACTTGAATACTTAATGTACTTTTGTTCTATGTATATGATAATCTAGTACAGAAAATGCCTAAGTCTCACTAACAGAAGCTCCTCTACAAATGCCATTACACTGTGACTAAAAGGACTGAGCTGTTTTTGTAACTATCCCATATTTTTTCTAACCTTGTAGGTCACTTTTAAATTTGTTCTTAGGTTTCTCTATGCTACAGAAACAGGCTTTACAGAAAATCTTATATATACTGCTTTCGCACTATTGGACATTCTTAATAGTCGGTTAGCAGCAAACGGGCTTAGTATTCATGAGCGAGTTAGCAGATTCATAGAAGCTCGTTAGTAATGCAAAATGATAAAAGCAATCACGAGAAAAACAGTTGAAATGTGCATCCGCATAGATAAGTCTATACGGACGATACTTCATTTAAGTAACTAGCAAATCTAGCAATTCGGGTTAGACGTTCGTTGGTACGCGTTCAAGAATTTAGTGTTATGCTGGCACGTTTACTTGGGCTAGCTATTGTCGGCAAAACAACAGTTCTGCAGCTGTTCAGTTCACGACGCACGTAGGAGTAGTGGCCAAGCAGCGGAAAACAACGCCGGGAAGAGATCGTTTGATTGTAGCACTCGGTCAGGCGCAGCAAACGTTTCCTAACGCATTTCAGACCTCGGCGCCGATGGTTGACCGGGCTGTCGCGCTACTGCCCGAGCGAGTCCCGTCCGTCCTCGTCTCCGTGCGAGCGCTCCTTCCGCCCGTGCCCGCAGCGGATGTGACGACAGGGACGCGGCGTAGCGTGCTCTCTCCCGCGGGTGACCCCCGGGGACCTTCGCCGCGCGTGAGCAGGTGTAACCTCAGCAACAGCCGGGCATTTGGGCAGGAGAGACCGGAAGCCCCTCCCCGCGCAGTTCTAGCACGCCCCGCTAAGCGGCTTCCGGCATCCCAGAGTCTCGGTTGTTTGGCGGCGGCGGCGGCGGCGGTTGCCGGACCAGGTAGCCGCGGCCGGTCTCCCGTCCCCCTTCCCCCTCTTCTGCGCAGTAGCAGCCGGGTGCTTGGCCGGCAGGGGCTGGAAGTGCCTCGTGCCTCATGCCTCGGCGACGTTTCTGGCCGTCCGCCCCGTTGAGGAGCGTTCCAGATGCTCGGGTGGCTGATCGCGGCGGCGGCGGCAACTGACGGAACTCCAGCCGCGTTCCCTCTGCCCATCCGAAGCATTTCAGAAAGGAGCTCTGCCGGGCTTTCTTCCTCAGGAGCGCCTGCGGTTGCACTGAGGAGCTGCCCAGGAGGCAGGGTTGCCCACGAGTATTTACTCTTTTCGATCTCTGGCGACCTGCTGTGTTACGTGTAAAGTGTGGGGGCTCGTTAACGTCGCTTTTATGTGTTTTCTTTCAGAGGACGCTTAAATAACCTTAGAGCAAAATTGAGAGAGGATGTTTTTGGTTTTTCCTGCTTCCGTGATTTGAGCTTTTCTTTCTTCCCAGTGTATGTTGCTTACTATGGAAGAATCACAGATCTGTGGGTTTGGAGATAGCAGCCGGGAACAGCTGAGGAACAGCAAGTGCAGTGCGCTGAATACAGTGCTGCAACATTCAGACACAAACTGTGATGGTACAGAAAATGCAGCTGCATTGGAGGAGGTAGAAGATTACATCGCTAGAAACAGAAAGCTGTTGGGAAATGTATACTGTGCTCAAGAGCTTCGAGAGGAAACTCCTGGAAGAGAAGAAACCCGTACTGACCCACCTGATGGCCAGCAAGACCCAGAAATTGAGAAGAACAAAGAGAAAACTTTAGGTATATTATTGCAGTAAAAATAAGCAGCTCCTTTCTAATTCAGATGTTTAGGCTTGCTTACTTTTGTTTCTTGTTAAGATTTTACTTAGCTCTTTTAATTTTTATGACTTGTTTGCAGTATTTCTTAGAATGAAATTTATCATGTTTCCCTGTGGAATGTGGCTTTCCTGTTCAGATAGCTAATTTAATTATACAAAATTTTGTTTATTGATGTTTTCTAGCTCTCTATAGATATATTCTGTAGCTTTTTTTAGGGGAAGTCAGTATTTCTACTGTATCAAGCTTCTTTGTACTGCATATTCTATAGTTGTGTTGCAAGTTATTAACTAGTCTTTATGTTGCATCGAAGTTATTCTTGTTACTCTGTTGATAGTTGCTTAATATTTACATTTTTCAAAAAGTTGTAGTATTCTGGTTATTTTGCTGTGCAGCAGTGCTCTAAATACTTCTAAAATGCTTTTTTGTTGCTCTGCAGGAAAAGAAGTTTTATTACTGATGCAAGCTTTAAATACTCTTGCTACTCCAGAAGAAAAGTTGGCAGCACTCTGCAAAAAATATGCTGATCTGGTAATGTGTACCTTATTTGAAGTCACATGTATTCTTAGTGGCTACAAATTAAGTTGTTCAAAGAGTTCATATATATGTGGTCCTACAACTAGTAGAAGCAAAGTTAAACATTTACTTTGGAAAAATCTCTAAGAAGAACTAACGTGGTAAATTCTTGATCATGCAAAGTGTGTTTTCTATACTTGACTCTTCTTTGGTACTGCACTTATTGCAGTAGTGATCTTTTAAATTTATTGAGAATATGAGGTGTTGTGTTAAAAGTATTTTGTATAAATAAGGGAAGCAGAAAGTATGTGTGCCCTGCTTGTTAACTTTCTTGTTGCTTCATTCAACAACTCTTAACTGGAGTATGTGTAAAAACAGAAGAATTTTATGTGCATTTTGGCTTTAATGGTGTGTATATACATTAGTATTGTGGCATGATTTGTATATATGACATCTCTTACCTGTTGTCTTGTATAAGGAGAATTTTCTGCTCAGTGGTGAATACATGGAACAGGTGGTCCCTGTGTGGACTACATGTGTGAACATATCTATAGTTACTGAATTCAAAAAATGTTTAGAACTTGGCTGTTCTGAGTAGGGAGTTTTGTTGTTCAGAGTAAGTTAAGGAAAGCATTTTTGTTCATTTACCCATAGTGAATAGTTGGCAGTGCTAAAGATTTGCTAAAGACCTCTTTTTAGTTCATAATGAGGCAATAGGAAGGAAGCAAGATCTGTGGAGCGTTAAGCTTCTTTACAGAGAAACTAGCACTGTGACTTTTCTCTGCAGGCGAATTCAGACTTTCAATTGATTCAATATGTCCTTAGTGACTTGGTGTCACAGTTCTACACTGGCACGTTCTACATTAGCTTTATCTTCAGCAAAGTCTTTTTGGTAAACTGTAGTATGGCAAAGTAACCAAGGGTTATGGTTATAAGGGTGTGCCTGGTAATAACTTGGATGGAGATGGAGACATTTGATCATTGCTTCAACCCAGGTTTCAAAATAAAGTGATAGTCAAAGACAAGAGTAACTAAGGATGATTTATGGTCATGTTAAAAATGGATCTTTCTGCTCTGGGAAACAGAACTTGATAATCCTCCTTAGTTTTACCTAGTTATGGGTTACGCTGAAGTATTATATAATGAAATCTGAATAGTATATTGCATTTTTTTAGATTGCCATTGTAATGTTGTCATCTTGCCTGTTCTGTATGTTATAATTGTCAAGTTGTGATTTTAAAATAAATGCAATCTGTTTTGGCTATGGAAACAGAAAGGCTTTTCAATTTTAAGTTGCATTACTGAAGAACATTTTTGCCTGCCTTTATTTGTTTCTGTAATTTAGTTGGAGGAGAGTCGCAATGTTCAAAGACAGATGAAGATGCTGCAGAAGAAGCAGGCTCAGGTAGTAAAAGAAAAGGTCCATCTGCAGAGCGAGCATAGCAAGGCCATTCTGGCACGGAGCAAACTGGAATCTCTCTGCCGAGAACTTCAACGCCATAACAAGACTTTGAAGGTTAGTTTCAGAGAACTTCAACGCCATAACAAGACTTTGAAGGTTAGTTTCAGAGAATACTGCACTGGGCTGGCCTTGAAAGTGATATAGTTTTGTAAACATAGGCTAGTTGCTTGAAATCTTTTCCATACTTTGGAGTAATAAAAAACCAAGGCAACTGAAAATGGATAAACTATTGATTCTTCAACACTCTTGATTTATTCTTTAATTAGTATTAATATTTGATAGTAAAGGAGGCTCATAATCAAATACTGGTTATCATTTATCCTGGAAAATTTGTCCATGAGCCAGTGTATTAGTATGCTTTATATTAGGATCCAGAGTTAAGCTGCTGAGAAGAAAGAAGGATTCTTCTCAGTAAAAGTTTTTGTCTTTAAGCATTATGTACACTGTATTCTTGCAGAATCTTCAAGGTGTTGCAAGATTCTTCAAGAATGTACAAATATCAGCACTTGAGATGATAAAAATAATACAGGGTAGGTAATGGAGAGAGCAAAATGGTGGACCTATGATATTTGTGAAGGGATCTTAAAATGTGGGTTGGCATTGCTGTTGGAAATGGAAGAAGACAAGTTGTGTCTGGAAGAAACCAGCAGGCCATCTGGTCCAGCCCCTGATCATCCTTGTTGTCTTCCTTTGAACTCTTTGCAGCTTGTCCGCGTCTTTGTTAAACTCTGATACCAGAACTAGACTCTTGTTGTTGTTGTTCTTCTTCATAGTAGTAGTAGTATATAATATTTTTTCTTACAACAAACTCAAAGCAGCTTATATCATTCTTCTGATCCTAATCTTAGCCCCAGAACAACAACCCTGTGAGGTAGGCTGGGCTGAGAGCCTGACTGGCCCAAAAGTCACCCCATTGGCTTCATGGCCAGGCAGATCGCCTGAGTCCCAGTCTCTTAACCACTACTAGATATGCTGCACTGCAGTATTCCAGATGAGACCTAACCAATGCTGAGTTAAAAGGGAACTAGTATTTCATGGGGTTTGAAAGTGATACTTCTGTTAATGCACCTAAAATAGCATTTGCCATTTTTGCAGCCACATCACATTGTTGATTCATATTCAGCTTGTGATCTGCAACACAAGATCCTTCTCACATGCAGTATCATCTTGTAGTTTGGTTTCTTTTTCTCTAGATGCAGAAGTTGGCATTTGCCCCTATTGAATTTCATTCTGTTGTTTTCAACTCAGTGTCCCAACCTATCAAGATCACCTTGAATCTTCTGTCTTCCAGGGTATTAGCTATCCTACTCAGTTTTGTGTCATATGCAAATCTGATAAGTGTTTCCCACACTTCCTTATCCAAATCATGAATACAAATGTTGTTCAAGAGCACTGAGTTCAGGACTGAACCCTGAAGTACCATACTTGTTACCTCTCCCCAGTTTGGGAAGGCACCATTGTTGAGTCCAGTTCTGTAGCCAACTATAGACCCATCTCATCGTTGTTCTATATAGCTCACTTTTTGCTAGTTTGCTAATAAGGATATCATGGAGCACTTTGTCAAAAGTCAAGATATATTATGTCCACAGCATTCTCACAGACCACTAGGTGGGTTACCCATTCAAAACTGAAATTGGATTAGTATGGCAGGATTATTCTTGAGAAATCCATGCGGCTTCTAATAATTGCTACATTGTTTTCAAGGTGTTCGCAGACAGACCACTTTATAATCTGCTTTCACAGGGACTGTTGTCAGACTGACTGGTCTGTAGATTCCTGGTTCTTTTTTCCTCTCTCGAAGATAGAACAACATTACCTGGCACTTCCCTTGTTCCCCATGATTACTCAGAGATAATAGACAGTGACTGAGAGTTCTTCCACCAGCTCGTTTATGATTCTAGAATGGAGTTCATTGGGCCCTGGAGATTTGAAATCTTTCTACCCAGTGAAATGCTCCTTTACCATTTGCATATCAATCTTGAGTTGCCATCCTGCTCCTTCAGCTTGTATTTCCTGTTCATCAGGAGAGAAGGCAAAGGCAAAATAGGAATTGAGCATCTTTGTCTTTTCTTTGTCATCTGTTACCATATTGCCATCACACTGAATTGTTGAACCCCTTTCTTTCCTCTTTCTTTAACTATGGATATATCTGAAGCAGACTTTTAAGTTGCTTTTACTATCCCTCACTAGTTTAATTCTTAACTTCAATCTCCATGCCAAGTCTGGTCTGACCGGGGCGGCTCAGGACTTCATGGCCTCCATGACGGCCATGGGGCTGTCTCAACATGTCACTGGCCCGACCCATGAACGTGGACACACTCTGGACCTGGTTTTCTCGATGGGCAGGAAGAGGGTGGTCTGAGGGTGAGGAATTTATGCTTGACTCCCCTATCATGGTCAGATCACTCCCTGGTGAGGGTTGTGCTTGAGAGCGACCTCTCCCTCTGCAAGGGTGCGGACCCGATTGTGTGGGTCCGCCCCTGGAGCCGGATGGATCTGGATGGATTCCTGAAGGCCCTGGGGGAGTTTCCAGCTGACAAGACTGGTGCTCCTGTCGAGGCTCTGGTTGAACTGTGGAACGGGGAGATGACCAGGGCTGTGGACACGATTGCTCCTAAGCGTCCTCTCCCAGCGCGCAGAGCCCACTCTTCCCCTTGGTATACACCTGAATTGCGGACGATGAAGCAGGTTGGGAGACAGCTAGAGTGTAGGTGAAGGAGATCACGGGATGAATCTGACCGAACACACTTGAGAGCCCACTATCGGGCCTATGCTGTGGCGGTGAGGGCGGCGAAAAAGAGATACTTCTCCGCTTCCATTGCCTCCTCACAATGCCATCCGGCGGAGCTTTTTCGAGTGGTGCAAGGCCTGGTTCGTCCAGGTCCTACGGAAGATCGGGTTCCACCCTCAAAGGCCCGCTGTGACGGCTTTGCCAGGCATTTCAGGGAGAAAATCGCTCAGATTCGTCACGAGCTGGACACCACTAGTGAATCAGAGATTTCTGAGGAGATGCCAATGCTGCCGTCTGGTCCAGAATTATTGGATGAATTTCAGTTATTGCGGCCCAATGATGTGGACAAGGTGCTTGGACGAGTACGTCCCACCACTTGCCTATTGGACCCTTGCCCGTCTTGGTTAATAAATAATTCCAAGCACGGGACTGGGATCTGGATCTTGGAAGTGGTTAACGCTTCTCTGAGGGAGGGTCGGGTGCCTGCCCCTTTAAAGGAGGCGGTAGTCCGACCGGTCCTGAAGAAAGCGTCACTGGATCCAGAGATGGCCACTAACTATAGACCAGTGGCCAACATCCCATTTCTGGGCAAGGTGTTAGAGCGGGTGGTGACGGGACAACTCCAAGCACTCTTGGATGAAACTGATTATCTAGACCCATTTCAGTCCGGCTTCAGACTCGGGTATGGTACTGAATCTGCCTTGGTCTCCCTGTACGATGACCTGTGCAGGGAGAAGGACAGAGGGAGTGCGTCCCTGTTGGTTCTCCTGGACCTCTCAGCAGCTTTCGATACCATCAACCACGGTATCCTTCTGGATAGGCTAGCGGGATTGGGGGTCAGAGGCACTGCTTTGCAGTGGTTCCGCTCCTATCTCAATGGCCGATTCCAGAAGGTGGAGCTGGGGGACTATGGCTCTGCACCATGGCAACTATGCCATGGAGTACCGCAGGGATCCATTTTGTCCCCTTTGCTGTTTAACATCTATATGAAACCACTAGGAGAGGTCATCAGGAGGTGTGGGCTGTGGAATCATCAGTACGCTGATGATACCCAGCTCTACCTCTCATTTTCCACCAATCCAGGTGAGGCAGTGGCTGTGCTGAACCGGTGCCTGGCCAAGGTAATGGGCTGGATGAGGGCCAATAAACTGAAGCTCAATCCAGACAAGACGGAGGTCCTGTTGGTTGGTGGATCGGGCTTTGGGAAAGGTGAATTGAACCTAGTCCTGAATGGGGTTGCACTCCCTCTTAGGGACAAGGTCCGCAGCTTGGGAGTGCTCCTCGACCCGGAGCTTTCATTGGAAGCTCAGGTGACAGCGGTGGCGAGGAGCGCTTTCCTTCAGCTTCGGCTGATTCATCAGCTGCGCCCCTACCTGGAGTACGACTGCCTGGCGACAGTGACACACGCACTGGTGACTTCCCGTCTGGACTTCTGTAACGCGCTCTACGTGGGGCTACCCTTGAAGACAGTCCAGATACTTCAATTGGTTCAAAATAGAGCTGCCAGGCTGCTGACGGGGACTGGGCATTATGTTCACATGACTCCAGTCCTCCGTAGCTTCACTGGTTTCCCATTGAAGTCCGGGCCCAATTCAAGGTGTTGGTGAGGACCTATAAAGCCCTAAACGGCTTGGGTCCTGGTTACCTGAAGGAGCGCTTACATCCATATATGCCCGGCCGCCCCTTGAGATCTGCAGGAGAGGCCCTTCTCCAGGAACCCTCCGTGAAAGAAATTAGGAGGGTGAGTACTCGGAGGAGGGCTTTCTCTGCGGTGGCGCCCAATCTATGGAAAGTGCTCCCCAGTTAGGTCCGCCTGGCGCCGTTGTTATTTGTTTTTCGGCGCCAGGCGAAGACCTTTTCATTTAAGAGTCATTTTAATTGTTAATAGTATTTGCTTTTATCTGGCCAGGGCGACTTCTTTTATATTGTTATTTATTTTATATTGGTATTTTTATATTGTTATTTTTGTACTTTATCTTATGTTGTGAGCCGCCCCGAGGCTTCGGCGAATGGGGCGGCATAGAAATGTTTTAATTAATAAATAAATAAACTTTAGCTTTCCTGATGCCATCCCTGGAACTCTATGCTATCTGCTTGTATTCTTCCTTTGTAGCCTGGCCTTCCTTCCACTTCGTATACATATCCTTTTTAATTTTCTGATCATCTGTAAGCTTTTCGTGAAGCCACATGAGCTTCTTCTGTCTTGTACCCTTTTTCCTTGTCGGAATTGTTTGTAATAGTGCCTTTAGAATTTCATTTTTTTAAACCCCCATCCATCTTGGACTACTTTTTTCAAAGTGCCATGGGACTTCGTTTATCATTGTTCTGAGTTTATTGAAATTGTATTTCTGGAAATTGAGGGCTCATGTGTAGCTACATTTGGCTTTTGCTTTTCTTAGAATCAAGAATTCAAGTATGACATGGTAACTTCCCCAGAATTCCTACAATTGCCGCTTTGTCCACTAGATCTTCCTTGTTGGTTAGTATCAAGTCAAGTATAGCTGTTCCTCTTGTTCCTTTCTCCGCTTTCTGTTGGAGGAAGTTACCATCAACACATGTTAGGAATCTCTTGAAGGGGCCATGTTTGGCAGAATTTAGCAGAGAAGTTGAAGTGCCCCATAATCATGCCTCCTTGAAACATTGGCAGTTTGCCTTCCAAAAAGTTTCATCCTCATCTTCTCCTTGACTTGGGTGGTTGGTAATAGGTCTCTTAATCCAGATTCTTTCTATGGTGTTACTAAGCTCATCCTCCTGTATTTCTGTGTAGATATATGTATCCTTAACATATAGTCCGCCTCTGTTTCTGTTCCTTCTGTTCTTGAACAGGTTATATCCTTCAGTTGTTGAATTCCAGTCATTGGAGTCATCCCACCAAGTCTCAGTTATACCTATCAGGTCATATTCACCCTCCTGTTCATGTTCGTGCTGTTCGCTTTCCCACTCTTGGCATCAATATATAGTAGTGTAGTTGCTTTTTGGTTCTGATTTTCAGTTGTCTCTTCATTGTCACCTGGTAGGAATTATGGAGGTATAATTATGCTTTTCTAATAGCAGAGAATCTTGAGCGACAAGTATAGACATAAAATGCACATTCAGTCTGTTCTATAATCTGTGAATCTGTGTTTCTGCTGCAGGTTATGCTTAAGAAATAGAGATGTCAGCATTTATTTATTTCCTGATTTATCTTCTTTAGAGCTATTTATCAAATGCAATAAATGAATATGGGTATTTAATCAATAGGATGGGTGGCATATCTTTGCCACATTGTCTTTGAGATTCAGTTCTGTCAGTGGCACAGAAGTTTGCACCTCATTTAAGATGATCTGGTGATACATACTACAGCATTGCAAGATGAAGCCTGTCTTGAAGAATATTCCAGAACTTACAGCACATTACTGTTCTTGCTGTGGTCAAGCCAAAGAAGGGCAGTCAGCATGGTGTTAGCCTTAGTTCCTGTGCAGATAGCAGCCGTTAGTCCAAGCTGCAGCTTGTCTCCAGCATTACAGACTTTGCTAAGAACTGTTGTATTGTTAGGGCTTTCTGTAATTACCATGAAACTGATATCAGTCTGTCTTGCAAATTCACTGTTTGGGTAAAAAAAACAAGGCACTTCAAATCTGCTTCAGTTCATGAGGATGTACAGTTCCTCACCCATGTGGCTAAGTGGAAATCAAGAGCGAACGAAATACACATTTCAGAGAGGCATAAGTATAATAATTTGATTTTCTGTCACCTAATCATACTTAAGTAAAAGCTGGAATTGTGTCGCATTAGACTTACTACTTAGCTAGTTTGACTCTGTGAGTTCTAATGACAAAAGTGTTGTATGTTGGAAGAAGACTTGATTATTTGGATGCTGGGACAAAAACAGTGTGCTTGGACCTTTTGTTGACAGTTGAGATATATCTATCTACATATTGTAACTTGTTATTTGCATGATGCTTTAACTGTTTTAAACATCTATCATAGAATTATTATAAATCTTGTATTACATGTATATCCTTTTTTATTCTTGCAAGGAATGCAAGGCATCTTACACTCCTTTTAGTCCTCCACTCCATTTTATCCTCACAGCAATAATTTTGTAGGGTAGGTTAGGCTGAGTGACTGGCCCACACTCACCCAGTGAGCATCATAGTCAAACAGGAACTAGAATCATATCTACCATGTCCCTAATCAAACGCTGTAACTCCCATAGTACACTTGCTGTCTTACTGCTGTCTCCCCATCCTTCTTGCAAATTTGCTCAATAAAGTTTTTGCCTGTCTAGGTGTGGGGAAGGGAAAGAGTCTGGAGCAGCTTCAGGATACTTCATACTCCGGTATCTCCAGTCCCTCCCTCCTCACCTACAAACTGTTTCCATTTACTCCTCTCTGAGGTAGCTTTCCTGCCTCAGAGCAACAGACCTGCTTGTTTCCATGCTGGCTATGAGATGGAAAGGAATCAGAGCTTCAGTTCCCAGGTCTGCAGTTGGAGCACTGTCTTTGCCCAAATATCCTGTGCCCATCAAGCCCTGTCTTAGGACCATAAGATTGCTTCAGATTGGAACAAACAGTAAAATAGATGTTCTCTGGTTGCATAGTTGATATAGTGTAACTTAAGACATGGACTTCCCTTGATTCTCTAAAGTTGAAGTTAATGGGCTTCATCAGAAACCAGCCTAATTTACCAAGGATGCTCTTTCGAAGAAGCTTCCAGATTCAGACTGCTAACAATCACTTCTGTACTGAAGAAGCTGCAACCTAATAATCTTGCCAGAAAGAGCCATGAAGTTTCTTTGCATCTATGTGCAGGTGACTGGCAGGTGAATTCTTGTAGGCATTTTGAAGTTAAGGCTCTGAACCTCTAAAATGACATTCACATGCATTTTTATTGATGGCCAAAAGTTGATTGGAAAACACATTTGTGAAAGCATGTTTAATCTCTTTGGAAAAAAGGAAGAGAACATGCAACAAGCCCGTGAAGAGGAGGAAAGACGCAAAGAAGCAACTGCACACTTCCAGATTACGCTAAATGAAATTGAGGCTCAACTGGAACAGCATGGTATACACAATGCAAAGCTCCGACAAGAAAATATTGAACTGGGGGAGAAGCTAAAGAAATTGATAGAACAATATACACTGAGAGAAGAAGTAAGTAAACCATTTAGCACTCCATCAGTAGGTTAGACACATTCTTGTGATATTTTTCAACTCTGCTTCCATAAAACAGTTATTCTTTGTCATGTTTATTCTGTGGAAATCATTTTTGTAGAAATCAGTGGATTAAAGTGACATGACATTCATTTATTTTAGAATATTGTGGTAAAGTTAATAACAAATCACCTTGTCTAAATAGTTTTGCTCTTATGTTTGAATGTAATGCAGTAACTTCTGACTCCATCAGATATGCTTTCAAAAGTAATTAGGGATCAAAATTTATGCCTTAAGAATCTACATAACTGTTTAAAGAAAACATCTCGTACTTACCTCAACTTGGCAGCAAGTGTTAGCTAAAAAGTATGGTTTAGAAGTTCTGCTTCTTTTACCCTGTTCTGTCCTACTGTGAAGACACTTAGTGGTGTATGTGCCCCTTCTTAAAACAGTGAGAGGTAGGGTCCTCTGAGAGACTGTTCAGGCGAAGGTGACCCAGCAAGCTTCATGACTGAGCAGAGGCCTGCACCTGAATTTTTATTGTCATGAACCAACACAAATCATTACTTCATGCTGTCTACCATCTGAGTACATACTTCCTTGTTGCATGCAATACTTCAAACATGCAGTGTGCTTTTTTTTTTCTCTTGCTGTCTGTGATTCACATTAATAACCAAAGGTTTTACCCATTTTTCTTGCTGTAGGCCTTTGCTTTGACAATGTCTTCGGCTTTCTGCCCCTCACCTAATTTCAGATGAATATAACCATAGTATTATTACTATTATTATTATTATTATTATTATTATTATTATTATTATTATTATTAAACATTTCTATGCCACCCCTTGCCGAAACCTCGGGGCGGCTTACAACATGATAAAATACATTGAAATACAATAGTACATAATAAATTACCATTAAATATAAAAATACAAAAAAATACATTGATTTACAAATACAAAATTAAAATTATCAGTATAAAATAAAAATATAGGAGGAGAAAGAAAAGGAAGAAGTTGCCCAGGCCAGATCATATGTTTTAACAATTGAAATGATGTTTAAATAAAAAGGTCTTTACCTGGCGCCGAAAAACCAGTAACGATGGTGCCAGGCGGACCTCTTTGGGGAGTGAATTCCATAGGTTGGGCGCCACCGCAGAGAAAGCCCTCCTCCGGGTACTTACTCTCCTAATTTCTTTCATGGAGGGTTCCTGGAGAAGGGACTCTCCCGCAGATCTCAAAGGGTGGGAGTATTAGATCAAATAGTTCTGTAATACTATCTGCAGTTGTAGATTGTATCAATGAACTGCTCAGTTAAGAGAAAGTTCATTCAATGAATTTTTTTAATTTATTGATAGCTCCTTCGCTGCTATCCGCTATCTTCATTCTGAAACCCTAATCCTGACTCAATACGATCAGTGTCCACAGTTTTCTGTAATAACCTACAAATTTATTTAGCTAATGCTGCTAAAAATACTATATAAATCCTGCTTCTGCTTACCAATAGACTCATTGGTGCTTCTGCATCCTCATTGATTTTCCATCCTTTTGCCATACTTCTTTTCAGTAAAATAACGCCTTTGTTTATCTTTTTTTTCCTGGCTAGATCTTTGCTGTCTTTTCACACAGTTCTCACTGCTTACATTAAACACTCTTAATCACAGTTGCTTGCAGTATCTTCTCTTATTGCTTTTTTATTTATTTAAAAAAATTTTATTCCATCTTACATCCAATAAGGATGTCTAGATGGTTTACAAAAGAAGAAAACCCATAACAGCACTTGAATATAACATAATCTACACTATATAAAAATATACAGTAAAAATCATTCTAACCATTAAAATACTGGGCAAATAAAAAGGCTTTGGCCTGGTGCCAAAATGGATAAAGGGTCGACCCCAGGCACACCTCTTTGGGGAGCAGGTTCCAAAGTCCGGACACTGCCACAGAGAAAGCCCTTTCCTGAGTAGTCACTCTTCTAGCCTCTTTCAAAGAGGGCTTCTGGAGAAGGTCCTCAGCAGATGATCTTAATGTATGGGCAAGTGTCTATGGAAGGAAATGTTCCCCTAGATATCCAGGCCCTAAGCCTGTTTTATTTTTCTTGCTGTTCAGTTTCTGTAGTCCAGAGAGCATCCCCTTTACAGCAATCTTACTTCCTATAATAGGAATCACGTGTTAAACAGTTCCTGAAACCCACTTCTGTGAAGCTATTTCCCAGCCGCCCTAGAGCCCTTTGTTCTGTGTTAGATGTAGAAGTCTGTGTGTAGTGATCATGTTGCATCTATGCAGCACCTATTGCTTAACAATGTAATCCTATACATATTTATTCCCAAAGTTGAGCTCTACTTTGCTTAGTAGGGATTACTCTCTAGTGTAAATGTTTGTTATTAATAAGTGCTGGTCATTTCATTTGAAAGAATTTTGGTGGTGGTACATCTTTTAGGACAAATTTTCCAATCTGAGATTGCTTTTACCAGCTACAACCACTTAATAAGAACTACTGTATGGAACAGTCCAAAGTGAAATTGGTATGAAATGCATATTATGCTTAAAAGCTTTCCTATTTGCTGGGTGGAATTTGTGCTAATGTTAATGCTTTTCTCTAGCATATGGACAAAGTCTTCAAGCATAAAGAACTGCAGCAGCAGCTGGTGGATGCTAAGCTTCAGCAAACAACACAACTAATAAAAGAAGCTGAGGAAAAACATCAAAGAGAGAGGGAGTTTGTAAGTGTTTCTGGTCATATGAAAAGGGTTTGAATACAAACACATTTTCCTTTGTCAGTAAATTAATACAGTTGGATTAAGTAATACAATCTGCTATTATCAGAGTAAAATTAATCTAAATATTTCTGGATTGTGCTTAATACAACTCCATATATTTGCCAATGTTCTTTCTCAGTAAGTAACCTGCATAAGTCTTAGGAGGGGCTTTTGCTTGGTGCCATAGCACTGGTTTTATATGCTGACAGTCTCAGGTTCAAACACCAGCATCTTCAGGTAGGGCAGAAAAGAATCCTGAGGGACATGCCAAACAGCTGCTGTCAGTCAGCAGCTGAGCCAGATGGACCAATGGTCTGTCTTGATAAAAAGTAGAATCCACCATTTCTATGAGCTTCTTCACAGGGGATAGTTTGGCCCTTCTCAGCACTTACAACAGTGGCACTCAGTGAATGTATAACAATGAAATAGCTAACATAGATCGTTCATGGATTATGGGCAGAATTCAGTGGCATCATTCTGCTAGCAGATGGTTTCTACCACTTGTGATAAGCTTGTACAGTGCTTCAATTCTGGTTCTGCAAGCCATTTTCGAGCTCTTCATAGCTTCATTAAACTAGTTGTTGCTTGCACTAACTGCTTTTCAGTGCTATATAGCCAGTGTTGAAAAATTACAAGAGCTGATGTTCGGCTGTTGGTTGCACGACTGTTTTCGTAACTAGCAGTACACAGATGTAATCACTTTTGCAATGATTTGTAGAACAGCTTGTGCAAGCAGAATCAAATGGATTTGATGTTTGTGCAAGGATTATAACATGGTTTCTACAAGTAGTAGAAATTTTCTGCTAGCACCTGTACAGTGTAAATTCAATACATTTGTTCATGTTTGCTTTAAAAACTATCTACATTTAAAGAGGGGCCAATAAGAACTTCCTCTGGTAAACATAATTTCATGTAAATTTGTTTTTCATACATTGAAAGAATAAAAGCTTAGCAACATGGAGGTGGTGTACAATCTCCAGCAATATTCAGATACTATCTAGACAGTATAATATTTTTTCTTCTTCAGCTGCTAAAAGAAGCTACTGAATCCAGACACAAATGTGAACAGATGAAACAACAAGAAGCCCAATTAAAACAGCAGGTAAACTAATGTAAAGTATATCTATACAGGGGTTTTTTATATTAGGTTTTTTTCTGGATTTTCCCTGTGACAGACTTTTTTAGCATTCCAAGACTCCTGTGGGGGAAATGGGAATGTTCAGACTGTGTCAAAGTCTTTGAAGTTAAATTCTTGTTAAGTTTTGTTTCTGCACACCAGAAGGATATCCCAAGAGCAGGTCTAATATTCACTGTTGGAAAACAATGATATTCTTTAACAAAACATTTTTATGAAACAACAACATATAATTTAATTTATTTCATATCCTCGCCCAACTGGTTATGGTCATGCTGGTGATATTCTGGCCACCATCTCTGGCAAATTCACAGGGCCATGCTATTTTCCCCCCAAAGAGTAACTCTGGGGTCATGGTGTAGTTGCTTGTGAAACTGTTCTTGTGAATGAGTTTTCTCTTGCCTGGCTGCTGTTTTGCAAGATCTTCCACATCAGTTCTTAATTTTTCTACCCAAGTCTAAATGCTCCTGCAATGTCATATATTCTTTTTATTTTCACTACTAAATTGATTTCTGTCTACTTCCACTCTGAGTTAGGGGTCATCCTTTCCTACTTTGGAAGATAAGTTGCTGTCATAGTTTCTTAAAACATAGGGCTGCAACCTTCCTGTTCCACTCATGACCCCATTTCCGTCACCACCAAGGCGATCCTATTTATGATTTTTCTGGAATCTCTGCCATGAAAGCCCATTCTAAGTGTCCAGTGGCACATTGGAGCAGCCATTACAGGTCCACATTTTTAAAAAATCTAAGTGTCAGAAGTGTGCCCTGTTTCATATTAAAAACATGGAAAAAGTAAGAAGAGATGGTATGGAGGTGCAAGTGTTTCCTGTTCATTGTTGCACTAAGTGTCTGTTGTAAAAGTCTAGTAGGCAGTATACATGGATGTAAACGAAGCCTTGTTGGTTGACATTTGTCAAACAGCAACCTATGTAAGACAATTTGCGTAGGAAAATACATCCCTTAGTGAGATCTCTAAGGTTTGAAGTGTACTGACAGTTGTCAGTGTAATCCTTTATTTCCTAAGACTCTGGATGCTTAGGTATTGGGAAACATGATTCTGTCTTACTTGCAGGAGCATGGAATTTTGACACTGTCAAGGTTTTCACAAGGTTAAACAGAGTTTCTGTCAGGGAAATATGTTGTAGTTTGTGGCCCCTGAAACACCATTCATTGTGTAGCTTATTCATGTCATACCGTGCAAACTTTACTCTTCTCATGTCCTTATATACACTTCCACCTCCTGTTCAAGAGCCTTTCAGGGGCCTGGAACCTTCCTTAATAAGATAAATGCCAACATTCCTTTCCAAAATCTCAGTTCTCAAACCACCCAACCATCCAGGATTTCTGGCCCTTAGGTTGCCTTCCTCCTCAGTCTTGCAGAAGGATCCTGCATCCAATGCTTGGCTACCTGAAGGAATTTCTGAAAGTAACAGTGGAAGATTGTGGGGAGGAGAAATGTTCTAGGAGCAAACCCTGTGGTTCCTGGTGTAGAAACCTCCTTGCTGGACTGCCAAGAGGAAATAGGCAGGAGCCTTTGAATGGGATCCTTCCTAGGATGCTGTAGGAAAGATGCTGCATGACAGGAATGTTACAAACTTCATTAAAATTTGTCTTTCCTCCATTTGGCATCTGAGGAGTAATCAGAACTTGGGCACTGCCAGTGGCACATAGAGCACACCTGACCCTGTAATGCACTATAAAAATGAAACAAATCTGTATATATGGATTAGGTATCCTAATTGTCAGTTCCTGAAATAAGAGGAGAAAGATGCAGAGTTTAGTTTGAACAGTAGCTGAAGGTGATATAAGTTCTTAGGGTGGGAAAAGAAACACTCTGATTTTTACATGCATTTCTAACCTAACATGGTTCAGCTTTTTAGCCTTTAAAAGTAACCAAATTCTTCTTACCAACTTAAGAAGTTGTTTTAGTTTTCAGATAGGTTTATTCTTTTGAAACTCAGTGGAGGGGCACTTCCAGTGTGTAGCTCTTGTATTGTATGTGTGACCCAAAATAGTTTATCTGTATAGAGAATTTAAGTATTGTTTCCTTCAGCTATCCCTTTACATGGATAAATTTGAGGAATTCCAGACAACAATGGCGAAGAGTAATGAACTTTTCACAACATTCAGACAAGAGATGGAAAAGGTACTTGGGTTATAAAATATTTTTAAATATTCCACACACATTCATTTACAGTTAGGAACTGCTGTTGAATGTGAGAAGGAAATTCTAAGGCTGTGGCCTTATGCACACTTACATGGGAGTAAGCACTACTGAACTTAATAGGACTTACTTCTGAGCAGACATCTGTACTGACTGCACTGTAAATGCCTTCTCTGGCTATGTATCTTTGCAAGTTTTGAGAAATGTTGAACATCTGCATGTGAGCCTGATACAGTTTCTGGGTGGAAGATATAATTGTGTTCTCTTCTTGGAAACTTGTTAATGAAAAAGGAACATTGAAGCATCAGTCAAAGTTGCAACGGGTGAAGTAGTTTCTGGCACTTTGCTTTTAAAAAGTTACTTTAAACCATACTTAATTTCAGATGACCAAGAAGATAAAAAAACTGGAAAAAGAAATCATAGTTTGGCGTACAAAATGGGAAAACAACAACAAGGCTCTCTTGCAAATGGCTGAAGAAGTAAGTATCATTTCCCCATATTAAGAACCCAGGGGCTTTTGGTATTTGACACAAAAAGTTTGTTCTCTGTGTTTGTACATTCTTAGAAATAAATGAAAACTACCAGTTGGTGGAAAGCAGGCTGGATCATACTAGTTGAGGAAAGCTTTAAAATGTTTAGTGTTTCAACATGCTGGAATTCTGCTCCATACAGCTGTATGGTTGTTTTTTGCAAATATCTAGTCAACCAATGAATGAAATATATCAGTCACATCCTATAAACATTGTGGTGTTTTCCAGAAATAATATTATTATTATTATTATTATTATTATTATTATTATTATTATAGCATTTCTATGCCGCCCCTTGCCGAAACCTCGGGGCGGCTTACAACATGATAAAATACATTGAAATACAATAGTACATAATAAATTACCATTCAATATAAAAATACAAAGAATACATTGATTTACAAAAATAAAATTAAAATTATCAGTATAAAATAAAAATATAGGAGGAGAAAGAGAAGGAAGAAGAAGTTGCCCTGGCCAGATCATATGTTTTAACAATTGAAATGATGTTTAAATAAAAAGGTCTTTACCTGGCGCCGAAAAACCAGTAACGACGGTGCCAGGCGGACCTCTTTGGGGAGTGAATTCCATAGGTTGGGCGCCACCGCAGAGAAAGCCCTCCTCCGGGTACTTACTCTCCTAATCTCTTTCATGGAGGGTTCCCGGAGAAGGGACTCTCCCGCAGATCTCAAAGGGCGGTCGGGCATATACGGATGTAAGCGCTCGTTCGTATCCAGTGGTGCTGTTCCACTGACAAAAACCCAAGCTCCACTGAGGCAGCTGGAAGGACAGCAGCTTCCTCACCAGCCCTCGAGATCTGCTCTGGTGGGCAGGGAAATTTTGGAGCAGAGCTTTGCATGATACAGACATTTTAGGGAGAAGAAGTGAGAAAATTCCTGTAGATTGGGTGGGGAGGTCGTTTTTTACACAAGCCATTTCTAGTTATACTTTCTAACAAGTAAGTGTGGAAATGGACTCACCATATTAGAGGGATAGTCTTTTACGTGGGAAGGTAGATTTGAGTCTGGCAAGGGAATACCAATGAAGCCTTTCAGTCAGTTTGGATGGAGCACAATTAAGGAGTTCTAAATGGGCAATATGAGAGTGTCACCATACAAGTTATTTGTGTAGGTCTGTAGTTTGTTAGCTAATGTTTCCAAATATTTTGCAGTGTCGCTCAGATCATAAACAATGTTTTGTTTGCTGCAGAAAACTGTTAAGGACAAAGAATACAAAGGCTACCAAATAAAACTGGAGCGTTTGGAAAAGCTGTGCAGGGCTCTTCAAACAGAAAGAAATGAGCTGAATGAGAAGGTGGAAGTCCTTAAAGAACAGGTTTCTGTAAGGGAAGCAGATGTCAGTCTAGCTGTACATGTGTTGCAGTCGTGCACGCTCAACTCCCATGAGGAGCTGGGGGTTTCAACGAATGGAATGCAAGAAGGAATCCAACCAGATGCTGAATCAAAGGTGGCAAATGAAGGCTCTGAAAAAACTGTCCACCTGGGTTCCATTCCTGCCACAGATTTTGTTGACTAAAGTGTAAACACTGTATTGAGAGATATATTTTGTGTATAACTTTGACTGGTGGTGGTAACTATTAGTTTTGTGGTGAAAATTTTCTTACTTTTTCTACCATATCTGTATTTTCTTAGAACAGAACTTGCCTGGTACAAGAAGCTGCACAGCAGCTATTGAATAGCTTATCTATAAAATTTCCACAACTGTATTGCACATCTGCCTCGTTTTTTTAAAATATCATAAAGGATGCATGCAGATTCCTTCCTTCTGACCCATAAGAAGCATCACAATGTCATCTAAGACTCATACAGATTTGACATGTCAGGGGAACAACTGTGACCAGAATAATGCAGCCCTGGTTTTGGGGAAAAAGTTTTCTTCTATTAAGAGAATGAAGGCCTAGTATTGAATTATAATTGCCACAATAAACTATAATTGGGCATGTGATGACCAGAAGAAGCTCATGACTGGCTCTTCGATGCATATTTGCATGAACAAAGCTGAAAAGTCTTACAGGGTTTAATATAGCTGCAATCTTGCCTACAGCTTTGAAATATATGTAATTTTGCAACTGGAAAAACAGGGTATACAGCTGAAATTTCTCAGGATTGTCCTGCACAGTTAGTTCATAAATGGAGTGACTCGTGCCCTACCTGTTAAAATAGAAGGAGCAAAAAGTAGGCACTCAAACTTTATCCAGACAACCATCAACTAAAATCCAAATGCATTTTGAGTTCATGGCTGCCTTCTCAAGAGGATAAAGCTTTTTTAAAGTGTAACATGAACCTTATTGTCTAGAAATGCATGTGTATAGTTTGCAGCTTGCTTGTTATTACAAAATGCAGTGGGATTTTGATTAGTGGTTACTAGAAGAAAGATCACCTTTGTTTTGTGCCATTATTTCTGCACTGGTTTTGGTGCCTACTTGTTAGTGTGAAATAGTGAGCATGTACAAATACATTCACTAAAACTGGGAGTAATGGACAATATTATGTCATGCATTGGTTCCTTTAGTACATACTTCAATAAGGATGAAATCCTATGCATGTTTAGACTGGAAGAGTCCTGTTAACACCTAGCATTCCTGGGGTTTGCTGAAAGTTGTAGGACTTCCTTAAGCATGTGTAGGATTACACCCTAAATCAAATGCATATATCTGCAGAAAACATAAAACCTGATCTATCCATGTTAAATATGGAATATCCATAAATTAGCTAATCTAGACATACAGATCAAGGGTGATATTCCAGTCCTGTTTCTCAGCTACTGCTTTTTGTAAAGAAAAATACATAACAAAAGACACCTGTAACAAAAGTGCCTTCCAGTATCTGTAGATTACCTGCTGAATTTGGCACTTCAAGTTTTAGTTTAATGCACAGCGAGCAAGACTCAATTTCATTCCTGTTGCTTTGTGAGCAGAATTGTTTCTCTTGCAAAAGTCCAGATATTGTCATAATGCAAATTTGTGTTTTTATTTAAAAGACAGGGACCAACAGTATTTCATTAATGTAGGAAAATACTACTAGATCAGATGCTGCTGCTAAGTAAACCTGCAGATAATAGCTTTCTAGTTGTTGCTGTATTCAGAAAGTACAAATACCCCATTTATATTATCCAGTTAGGCTGGCAATTTTGAGGGACTCAAGCATATAACTGTTTATAGGTTTGCCTACATGAGCTCTTTGACAGTTTAGTTGCAAATTACTTGAATGTTCAAGCTATACTAAGATATGCTACCCTTTATTTATACAGTGTACAGTGAAATATCTTAAAAAGAAAGGATAGCAAAACCCTTTTGGATATTAGCTCATACCACAGAGCAAAAACACATTGATATGTTCAGGGACCTAATTTGGGAACTGGCCAGTTAATGTTCCTCAAAGTTGCATTTTCAGTTTGTATACATTCCAACGACAGTTAAGTAAGCAGAGATGACTAAAGGTGTGCAGTGAAGACAGGTAGATTTGCCTTTGCAAGTCGTAATAATTAGTAATAGATACTAGAGAGATTATTTCTCTCATCAAAGTTGATCAATATTTAAAAGCATATTGGACAGAAGCAGAAACATTCCCAAAAGTGTAAAAGGAGAAACCTCAATATTATCTTATTAGAAAATGAGGAATTTGAAAGAATTCCAGAGACAGCAACAGTTCTGGATTATTATCTTTTTAACCATCTATTTGATTGCCTTTTTAACTATAGCCAGAACAGGCATAATGGCATAATGCTTGCTCTGTATCTGGCAAAATGCTGGATCTCAGTGCTTTTGATAACAGTAGATGAAAACACCAGTGAAAGTATTGCTTACTGATACTGGAAAATAAAAATTGGAATCGTGGTATCTTTTTCTTTTAAGGAAACAAATGTGTTTGCACATGCCATGCTTTCTACTCTGTATCTTTCCCAAGTTTAGATGGGCTAAACTTCATTTCTTGAAGCATCAACGTATGTCATATATTTACCAGTGGGAGGGCTAGAATAAGTTCAGCTTTTGTCTGATCTGCCACACATTGGGTATTACACTGCCATTTTCCAGCTGATTTGTACAGTGTATTTCACTCACGATTCATGCTTACTGCAAGCAGCTGTCTTACTGTGAGTAAACCAGTAATCATGTTCTGAAAAATATTGAAGCCGTTGCTTATACTGTTCATTTCTTTATACTGTTGCACTTCGTTTGTATCAGATATGTCAAGTATAGGAGGAGTGTGCTGCGTATTTTTTTTTATTACATTGCTGGGGCTTCAAATGCTCCACTGATGGCTGACTAAGCCCTAGAATGTTAAGCTAATCTCACACTGAACCCCCAAAAGCCCAAAACTCTGTCATTTGTAACACTGAATGGTGCAATCCTGTGCAAGTTTAGACACCAAAAAGGTTGACAGCTCTTAGTCTGAGCTAGGGCATGCTGGGAGTTGGAGGCTTTTGCTGTCTAAACCTGGATAGAATTGCATTCTACATGTATTTACATACACATTTTACGGCTGTACCTTTCTAATCCATTGATCCTCTTTATCACTTCTAGTTAAGTTACAGTTCAATTCTCAGGTGTTGCAGAAAATCTACCTCTTCAGACTGTAGATGGAAATAACTGTGAAATGTGATGCAGAAATCTAGTGTGTGCTGAACACTGCTTTATTTTTACAACTCATTCCTGCTTTCATGGGACAGGGGCGTGGGGAGTTGCTGAATAAATAGGCAGTCTTGTTTTTGCTTTTCAGAACATTTTGTAGAGATTTTTCACTAATGTGAATCTGACATTTTATCTACTCAGTTCTGTATAGATTAAGTAAATATGTGTGCTTAATATACTAGAGTCTGTGTCTTTTGTTCTGAAGAGCCCTGAAATAAGCTTCATTTTTCTTACTGGGCTTTCCTGTAAATGAGTGCTTATCACTTCACAGTAGCATTAGCAAACATATGATTTGTGTTGTAATCACATGGTCCTGTATTTCTTTGGATGAATACCTAAAAAATACAAACCAAAATTGGTATAACTGAGCATCTAAATTCAGTGATGGCACATGGAATAGAAAACCATAGTGCTACAGTCCTTGATCTCCACACACGGGACAAGAGAATCCTGAACTTTTTAAATTTCCAAACATAAAACTTCAGTGCTCCTACACAAATTAAGCTGTCTTTGGACAAAGGAAATGGCCTTTTTATAGGGCAAAAACCCACCTAAATGCAATGGCTGAGTTGTCTCAGTCCCTTTAAATTAGCAATACAAATTTTGATAAAAGGGGAAGTGTCATCTATTGAAGCAATATGGGACATACTTTGATACTGTCAAAGGAGAAATATGTTGGTGACAGTTTTTCATGGCTGGGGAAGAGAGATGGTTTCAATGACGGATGTTTAGGCTAGCAAGGGTAGGTGCTGCTTTGATAGGGGAAAAGTATGTGGAAAGGGCTTGGATGATGAGGGAAGTTTGTAGGTACAAGGGATTGCGAGTATGTGAGGGTGAGGGTGATGAACAAGATGTGGATCGGTGGAATGTTTGAACATTGTTACTTAGTTGGAGGTATTTGCAGGAAATAATCTGGTGCTCCAATTTCCTTCCTTTAAAGCTGGCATTCAGGATCAGAGCTGGCAATAGAATTGGGCCCTACAGCTCATTTGAGTGATGCCTCTGTTCTAAAAATGAAGAATTTATACTATGAGTTCTTTGAAATGGTCTGCAAGGTTAACATTATAGTATACTGGATTTTGCTTCATGAAAACAACACAAAGTTCTGTACTTGTAGAGGTTTTTTGACCACAGTGCAACCTGTACATGGTAAAACTAATCTAGATGGATTGGTCTCCTTGATTAAACATTTCAGGATCATAACAAAAGATGAACACTGGTATTTATTAGGATGGAATTGAGTCTGCATTTTAAATTCCATGTTAATTTTGTATTTATCACTTTCCTAGAATAGTTGGTTCTCACCATATTTGTCACTTGAAGAATAAAGATCTAAGGAGCTTTTACAGTAACAAACAGTTTGAGTCAAACTTTTATTTGCTCAACTTGGTTGCTTTGGGTAGGAATGGAATAAAATTTTGTTCAGTGCTCTTGGTGTTTGTAGCCGTATCAAATTCGGACAGGAAGCTATGGTTTACAAGAGGGTACAGAAATGGGGTGGGTAGCATTGCTGAAAAGGTTTGCAGTTTGCCTTATGCAAGATTCTCAGTTTACCTAGATTCTGGTATGGAAATGTTGCAATTAGAAGGTTTTTATGCATGGGAGAATCATGAGAGTTAATATTTTACCCTTATACCAAACTTTGGACAGTATTTGAGCTCAAAGGAGACGCTTGGAAATAAGCATGCAAATATGATGAAAAGGTTAAAAGCCCAGAATTCAGTAGTTCTAATTAAATCATATCATTAACATAGTTGATCTAAATCACAAATTAATTTAGAAAGGGTCCCGGGACACTGTGATAATGCTTTTCTCAGGAATTTATAGATCTGCAGTACTTTCTGGAGTTTTAGACAATGAATTGAGAATTCATTAACACTGTGACTGATCCTCGAGACCGGAAGGAAAGGTTAGCTACCTTCATCCAAATCTAATCCTCTTGTGAGCATATTCATCAATTTATTAATACTTGTATATTACTGAATATAACAATCCCTAACTGACATGACAACGTATTAAAAATAACCATTAAAGTGATAGTTACAACAAAAATAGATAACAATTAAAAAGCAATAACCTAGCAGACGGAATAGTTTCAATATGTAAATTACAAGCCAGGGAAAACTTGTAAACACATAGCCTTTCTGGAGGCATTGTCAGGCTCACCACATGTTCTTCCAGAACCACATAGGTAAGGAAGTTCCAGAAGGTGGATGCTGCTACTGAAGGTCAGCTTTTCAAGATATATTGTGACATTCTGTTGCCAGGTTTCCACACCACACTTGAAATCCATGTTTTCTATAGGATGCTCTGATCAAAAGCCTTACCAGAACTTAGAATAACTTAAAGCCTTGTTTTTCCAAATTCATATTAGAAGCACAGCAGCATAGCAGAAATGCCAACGTCCAGAATGCCACCTATGACTCGCTTGTTACAACAGCCTTTGTCTACTGGCTTGTTTTTCCAGGCATCATTCAAAGTGCTGGATATGACAAAGTGTGTATGACGTGGGACCAAGTCCCCCTCCCATGCAAGCCTGCCTGGATTTTAAAATTCTCTGGGGAGGTCTTTTCCACAGTCCCTCCATTGTCAAAGGCACCTTGCTTGAGGGGCCCTTCCCAGGGGCACCTCCAGGTTTTGGAACTCTCTTCTGAGGACAGCCAAGCTGGTTCCATCTCTTTTGTCCTTCCACAGGCAGGCAAAGATCTTTAATTCAGACAGGCTTCTGGTGTATTGCTGAAGAGGGATGAGGGTAGTAGGTGGTGCTTGTTATAGTCATCTTTTAATTACATTTCATTCAGTTCCTGTTGTCTTCTTGGTATTGTTGTTATGAGTGGTCTTGAACATTTTTGGACAGAATGGCAGGATGTTAAACAAATTCTAGAGACATCAAAGGCCAGATGTGGTAATAAGTGTTCTGAAATGGGAGAGGAAAGAGTTCCTTCGGCATCTTCCTTAAGGTTTACCCAGATTGCAGGCTTTTTCAGGGTCACTGCCATGAGGAGCAGGGAGGGAGCCCAGTTGTGCAAACGGTACAGTTCAGACTGATTGTGCCACAGTATATATTGTAGTCATTCAGAAACTAGATATGTAAGCCCACAGCCTGGGAGGTGGGGATATTAAGCGCTGAATTAACTGTCTGGCAACCCTTTGGTGCTTGGAAAACTCCTGTCCTTTCCTACTGTATTAAAGGTAATCACCAGCACCATCTAGTGGCAACGAACGTATATAGGCTACCTTTTTTTTTTAACCAGGTAAGAGGGTAATCTCTAAATTATCTCTGTGACAATTATCTGTTAGCATATCTCATCACATGCATTCAACTATATAAACTGTCTTGTGTACTGAACCAAATACCTTTTTCTTAAATTGAAAATTGAAAAATTGAATTGGAAGCTAATGACTAAGTTGCAAAATGATTCTAATCTTGGTCTTGCAACTGACCTTGGGAGGCTATCATGAGGAAGAGAAACAATATTATTTTCTCTCCAAGATTTTTCTCTGTCCCTAGCAGAAGGCAATGGATTTAATGAACCAAGCAGGGTTTCCATATAAAGGTCCCTAATGCTGAATTCATCAGCTCCTCTATCTCTAAAGCAGTGCCAGATGTTTTTCTCACACTTGAATTGTGAAAAAGGAAATTAAAAGATTCCTCCCCCCATTGATGTGCAGCTGTTGGTTTGGAAAGCATATGTTTCCACTGTGATGATGAGAAAACATTTCAGGCTTTCTACTGTCAGTCACTAGCAGCAGCAAACAATGAGAAAGTATAAACATTCAAGCCATTTCTTTAACATGGAATAAGGCATTGCTTCACATCTTTCTGGTCTAGGCTATAATAAGAAAATATTTATTTACTGTACTTTTAAACTGCCAAATAACAAAAGCTGTCTGGGTGGTATACAATGCATTAGAAAACAATTCAAATTCAAACTAAATAAAAAACAGAGAATGAATTGGCACCAAGAAAAGAAAACAATAACATTATCAAACCAGTTAACAGAAGTAATAAAAGGACAAAAGATCATTTTTAAAATGCCTGATTTTAAGAGGTATTTCACCTGACACCAAAAAATCACAAAGTAGGAAATAAGTGAGGAAAGCCTTGAACATGTGGGGTGCCAACTCTGAAAAGGCCCTTTCTCTAATAACAATTCACCTCACTTCATTCGAAGGGGAAATTTTGACAAGGGTCTCAGATCTTAACATCCAGCTAAATAAATATGGTGTCCCTCAAGGTAACTTGGCCCCAAACCAATGAGTGCTTTGTAGGCTTGAATTCAGTCCATCGATTAACTAGCAACAAGTGGAGATGAAGTGCTGACATAATATCATGATTTAAGTCAGTCCTACTTAGCAGTTTAGCTGCTCTGCTTTGTACCAGCTGAAGTTTCTGGGCTGTTTTCAGAAGCATCCCACATAAAAATATTGCCAAAAACCCAGTGGGAATTTACCAGAGCATTGCTATCATAAAGCTATTTCTGTCCAGGTTCATTAGCCTGAGCTGATAAAAGCTTCTCTGTGCCACTGAAGTCACCTGCACCCCTAAAAACACCTCCAAACTATAAAGCTGCATTTTTATAGGAAGCAAAGCCCTTCCAGAACAGGTGGGATTACACTTAATTAGGCAGATAGGCCATTCACAGGTATCTTTGCCTCATATTGATTGAGTCTACTTTATTGGCTCTCATGCAGTCTATTAGCCTGCCCAAGCTCTACTTCAGAAGCTCAGCTGAAGAGATGGAAAACCGGCAGAATGATCTGAAAACACAGGTAAATGGCATCAGTACTTTCAAGCCCCCAACCCCCAGTACAAAGTGTTTTTACCTCCTGTTGTTCACCCAGTTGCCTCTACTGTAATGAAACAAATTAAGGAGAAGGTAATAGTTCTGGGTATGTGGACAAAGATATTTATGGATTTGATAGTTCAGAAGGAAGATAAACATCCAGGAAAAATTGGTCTGATATAATGCAGAACATCCCTTCCCCAGTGAACTGGGCATGGAAGAATTGCCAGTTAATTGAGCTTGCACATGTTTAGGATTTTGAAATATTTTCTTAGCCTGGTATGGTGCTAACTCCTAGGAGTTTCAAATATTTTCCAGGTTTGCCACCAGTGTTTTGCTAAAACATTGTGTAGTTCAAGTTCCCTTGAACCAGGATTATATTGATAAAT